CTGCTCAATTTATTCATATTTAACTCTTTCCCATGCTAGATTGGTGTTTTTTTTAAGTCTTTTTAACACCTGACAGATATCCCTTCATGCTTTGTCTAAGATTTAGAACTGTCATCAAAAATGAAAACCCAGCTAATTTAGCAGCATTAGACCTTTTTAAAGGGAGCCTGATTGTTGGCAGAGTTTTGAGTTTCAGCACCTCACACGTCTCAGACTCCATTAACTCTCACACAGATGATTAATTGCGCAGAGACCAGAACTGACCTGGAGTGACTGACTCATAAAGGGGCCCCAAAATAAAAATAATTAATTAACTTTGCAGTTGCGACACGTGTGAAACGAGAGCTCTGAAGTCATCAGGGTTTTACTCGAGTCTCGTTGTGATTCACAGGCACATTGTTCTGGCAGCTGCTCCATTGAGGTTGACAATGAAAGCTTGTCTTACAGTGAAAATATCTATACGGCTTACGTCGTAAAGAGATCAGATTTGAGATAAAAGATAAGTGTTGCGATTAAACAATGGACTTGAAATTTACACTCACTGGCTCTGCCGCTCACCACATTTTTGCTATTGTATATTCAGTGTGTTAAGGAAGAAATACTAAAATAGGTTAACTTTGGAAAAAGTTTGGCTCTCTCTCTTCCTCTGGATCCCAGGTCCTCTCGGCGAGCCACGTGAGGCCACAAGGAAAACAACAATGCGTGTTGACGTCACAGAATTACAGAGTTTAATCCAATATAAGACAATGCATAAACTTACAAGTAAGACAATGCACAAACTTACACCAGAAACTGCAGAACAACAGAAACATACATTCATTTACCTGACATAAATGGAAAGAAGAAGAAAAGCAAAGACATGCAAAGACATCTTTGGAGAGTTGCAAGAGCAAATCTGATTTGTTACTTCTGTGTAGAACGTTTTATCTTCTTTTCTTTAATTTATTCAAACAAGGCGTATCTTTGCTCATCCAACCAGGAGCTATCTCTGACCCTCTCTCAAGCCAGAAACCCCTGTCGTGTTTACGGCCTTTCACAGATGAGTGTGAAAAGCTAGAACTTCCACTGTATTGTTTTCCCACAGACAAAAGGCAGTTCAAACGATCCTAGCAAACCATCTGCTGTAACTACAAGTAACATAAAGGTCAAAAAGTCAGAATACATTACTAAATTCAAAACCACATTTAGGCCATTTGAATCAAGACATGTTAAGTTTTAAAACTAGCTTATTTTAAATTTATTTTCTCAACAAGTGCTTTGCAACAATAATTTTACACCTGTTTAACTTTGTCACTTTTTCACTTGCTAACACAAACTGTTTTTCACCGATATGTGGTGAACCAGCACAACATTGAATGCTACCGATTGGCTACAGAAATCACCTAATTAGTAAACTGCACGTTTCAATCCCTTCAGATTGAATTTTTTTAAATGAGTGGTGGGCAACTAGCACAACACCTTGAAGACACCGTTACCACTGTCAAACATGGGGGTGGCAGTATTATGCTGTGATAATGCTTTACTTTAGCAGGACTGAGAAGCCCTGGTTAATGTTTAAACAATGGATTGAGGAAAATGCAGGGTAAACCGGACCGTTTGAAGCTCTGGGCCGGAGCTTCCTCTAATCATTGAGTCAGAGCAACAAAGGAAGGGTTTAGGTCAAGTTAGAATGAACCAGTCAAAGTCCAGACTCGGATCCAATTGAAAATCACTTGGGAGACTTGGAAAATTTATGTTCGCAGAATATTGACCACTGACTGAGAGCTTCACACAAGAAAACATGGCAGTTTCCCAATGTTTGGTCTTAATGTTGGCTTGTTGCTCCCCCGTTTTCTAAAGATATCAGTCTTCAGAAAAAAAAGAAAAATGGGGTTCTGTAATCGGCATCAGAAATGTTCTTAATCTCTGTGTGGAGCTGACTTTCATCTGTAAGAATTATAGTGGTTTGCAGCTAATTATGTTATTCCAAAAATAAATGAATCAAACGGCCTCTTTAAAGTTGCGAGGGAAATCTGAAAAGAGTGGCATCTGCTGCCTTTCAGGAGCCAGACTGCTCTCAGCTTTGATGCAGCAAACTAAAAAACTGATTCATCATTAAAGTAAAGACACGCTGTGCTACAGCCTTGTAAACTACAAACACACACACACACACACACACACACACACAAAAACAGGTTAATGAAAAAATGTTTTAATTGGGGCATCCTCTTTAAGAAAAAAAAAATACCATGCTGTGTTCTTGTTGACAAACACTTACTGGCCATTATAAAAATCAAAGTATTTACCCTCTTTGGCTCCTCTGAAATGTTTATTTGAAAGTTGTTGCTTTTTTTTAACCACCCCATACTTTTGATTTGAACCTCACCTAAAATTTAAGTTCAGGTTTTCATTCAAACAAACTTTGTTTGTACATAATGTCTGTGGATATGACTGAGTACAACACACTGTGAAGAACCTACTTATTTTACAATTACCTTGTCCTCATTCTACATGACTGTCTTCTTTATCTGTCAAGTCAGCAGTTCTCTCCATGATTGTGTAGGCATAATACATAATATTTACACGCACAAAAAAAAATCATTTAAAAAAATTTCTGTGATGTAATATTCTGATTTTGTGACTGAATTTTGGATCTTTACTATCTGTTTGCCATAATTCTAAAAATTATAAAATATAAAAGCTTGAAATCTTTAACTCAACATATACAGGATATATAAAGTTTGAGTTTCACTTTCTGCATTTAGTGACAAAAATATAAAATTACTTTCCAACATGTTTAATTCTCCGAGACGTGCCTGTACACACAATTGCAGTATCTGTCAACAAAAACTGTAAACTTACCCAGAGCTCTAAAAGAAACGTGGAACAAAACCTGCTGACACATTTGTCAAGCTTGATTAAAAATAATAATGTAGTTGCTCGAGTTTTGTTTGGAAATTCTGTCATGTGGACCAGGTGTGAAGCCAAGCTTTACTTATTGTCACACTGGGAACTCCAGCTAAAAGAAGCACTTCATGACTCCTAATTGATATCTTTCCTACTGGCTGGAGTAGAAAAGTTGGAACATTATGGAAATGACAGCTAGTGGGTGGCCACTTTACATCATCGTTGACTGTAAACTAATGATGCGCACTGATGCAGAAAATTTATGTTGCTTAACAAAATGTTTTAGCAGGAACGGGTAATTTAAGAAGATTAAGGCCTCTAAGTGTAATTAGTCATGGTTCCTTTTCATGCCTTTAATAAATGTATAAGTAATGATGAGAAAACTTGAGCTTACCAGAACAAACATGTACTGTAGGACTAATGGAGAACTAAAGTTTGATCACTACCACGTGTTTGTAATAAACAAAACGTTCCAAAACAAACCAGAATGTTGAGATGTATTGTTCAATTTAACTTGAAAAGTAACTGCTAGCAAAAACCTCTGCTAGGATTTATTAAGAGAAAAAGATGTCAAAACAATCCTGTTGCTTTGTGAACAAGTAGTAGCACCCTATGGCTCATAGCTGGTTGTTCCCTCCTTCCTCTGCCTTGGTGTGTTTTGCTAGAACTGGCAATGAGCCTTTTATATTTTTGTGGAGAACTTTTGACCCATTTTTTTCCCTTTAAGAATTGATTTGTTTAAAGTTACGTTTTTAGCAATAAGCTGCTAAAAAGTATGGTCTGTAGTCAACTAGATTTCAGTCTGGATTTTGAATGGACCATGTCAAAGCCACAATTTGCCTTTTTTAACCATTTAGAGGTGATTTTTCTGTTGTGCTTTCGGTCATGTTTCTGGTGCATACTCGAAGTATGTTTGAGATCACTGATGACGGGACTCTGTCCCTTACAATTTTGTAGTAGAGATAATAAGTTATTTCAATTCTGCCAAGGTTTCCAGCCCACAGAATGCATTTTTTAACATCTTGGGGAGATTGAAAGTGTTTTTTTGGTTAATGTCAGACAAGTCTTTGTGTTCTTGTGTTTTTTCGTATGGCCAGTGTACTTTGGATGACTCTTTCCTTTATTTATAAAATCCTGATTTGTTAACCGTGTGTTGTATCAACTTAGGTTATCTCTGTCTGATGTTAAAATTTGACAAGCTGAAGCATTTAAGTATAGGGGGAAGATCTGAGGTGAAAAATACCTTCACACAGCAGTATTTAAAACCTCCCTAAAGCCTGTGACCCTTTCTTCACCTTTTGTTGTAATGCTAAATTTGTTCTGGCCCTTTATCTCGCATAATTCATTCCTCTGGCCTATAAAAGCGATTCTGGACATCAGCCATTTTCCTACGTGTAACCTGGAGAAACGCTGCTTTCCAAGAGTCTGGTCACCTTCAAGCGATAAGCTTCCTCTGTCTCCTCCTCACCGGCGTGTCGCAACATCCTTATGCTTCTTAAACTCTCGTCTTCTTCGACTTAAACTCTTCCCTCTATTCTCTTGTCTCATCCTTAGACACGTTCCCGGTGTCCTCTCTTTCCTCGGTGTCTTCTTTTCATTCTCTATCTCAGTGTGCCGCTGCAGGGCTCTCGGGCTGATGTAATTTATGCTATCTCCTTTACTAGCGTGAGAAAAGAGCGTCCTGAAGCCAGTGCTCTTCAAGCCAAGTGCTCCTGTGGGAGGCTGCAAGCCAGGCCCGACTGAGCTATACACTTTAGCTAGGTGCACAATGCAACGACCACAGATACATTAGGAGACCAATACCGGATAGTGGCACGGGATAATTAAAGCCTCTCTGGCAGTAGCTGTCGGCTGTAGAGGAAATTGAACGAGTTGTCGCTACAGGTATAATCTCTGCTGTGAGTCATTCCGCCACCAAATGTCAGTGGAAGTCGAGACTCGGGGAGCTGTCTGTTGATGTGAAAGCATTTGGCTCACGGGTCTCGAGTCTAATTGAGCTCGTCGGACGATTTGACTTTTCACAGCACTAAAAGCTTCATACTGATTTTGGGGTTGCTGGAAAAGAGTTGATGTTGACTGTTTATGTTTTTGTTTTTGTTTTTTTTTTCTGTGAGTTTGCAGGGCTGTAATCCATTTCTATGACAACAGAGGCGATTCTGGCAGGGGAAATGAAGACGGCAATGGAGGGTGACGCCAGGAGGACCAATCAGGTGGGCGCATTGTCTAACTCACAGCAGCTGTAGTCGTCTCAATCACTTAGGGCCCTTCCAGCTTTCTAGTTGATATGCAAGACAGCTCGTCCTTTCTGTCAGTGCCAATAACTAACATCTTAAAGCAGCGGCTGACCTTTCCATGCGTTTGCTATTCATCTTTTATGTTTAAGACCAAATTGTTTGCTGGGAGAAACACTTAACACTTCCTGAAAATCAAAATTTTATTTCACCATGAAGTTTTTGCACATTAACTTCACAAACTCGGATGTGTTTTATTTGGATTCCATGTGAAAGATCAATGTAGTGCATGAGTGTAAAGTTTAAAAAAAAAAAAAAACACACGCACACCATTTGAAGGGCTCAATGCAATTGTTTTCAACACTATTCAGCCGATAAGTAAATTTAGGTTGAACCAATCACCTTGAGTGGGTGTATTTAGAAAAAAACGTGTCTAATTTTAAGTAAATTAATATCAGTATAGTTGAAGCAGCTGCGTGACGGCCTTAGAGACCTGTTGGAGAACATTGGTGAACAAAACGGCACCGTGAAGGTCAAGGAAGGCAGCAGAACAAGGACAGGGAGAAAAATGAGCAGAAGTTTAATGCAGGTTTGAATCATACTACAACATTTTAAGCCTTGAACACCTCATGGAGTACCGCAGTTGGAAAGAGGATGACACCAAGCCATGGCCGTCCACCTGAACTAGATGGCCACATTAGCCATCCAGTTAATATGGTGTAAATACAAATTCACACCACACTTTTCAGTTTTTTTTTCTTTTAACTAACCTAAAAAAAAAGACTCGCTGTATTAGTATGTGTGGATCTGTCACAGTTTATGGTTGTGATGCATCAAAATGTTCAATAGTTCAAGGTGTACAAATGATTTTTCAGGTTACTGTATTTAGATGAATAGTGTTGGATCCCTGTTCTTTCTCTCAGGTGTGTTTTCTCTCTCCCAGGTTCCTGAGGACCAGGGCGAACTGGATGACAGCTCAGAGAAAACCCCCAGCAAAGCCTCCAGGTCACCCCAGAAAACAACCAAACGGCTCAAGACCGTCCCTGTCAAAGTAACTCTCCTTGACGGCTCGGAGTATGACACTGCAGTTGAGGTATGGTTGCCCACGTAATTTAGTTATGACATTGATCTTAAAATGTGTATTTAAAAAAAAAAATCCCTGTTTTTAAAAAATAACTTCTACAAAGGGTCGGGCTAGGGTTAAGGTATTTTCTGACATAATCCACTTACTTGGATCAGGAATCTTAAATGAAACACTTATGTGAAGACTCAGGCTGTTATATCAAATTGAAATCTAAGGTCACCGACCTTTGTTGTATTGCAGCAGAACTTAAAGCTTTGTGAGATACTTGAAGATTTTCTGTGTCACACAAGTGGTTCACTTCTTATCGAGACACACAGCCACGGTAACTTGAACACAGTTAAGCTAACCGGCAGGTTGTCTTACAGATAAAAGATTAGCCTGGATAAAAAAGCTCTTCCCACTGTTCAAAGCGTTTCTCTTGGAGAAAAGGAACAGATTTAAAAACAACTCACAGATGAGAAAAATCTGGGCTGATGCATTTTCCCAACTTTCACTTATAAACCCTAAATGATATGAAATAATTACAGACTATTTCTGAATTTGGCTTATAATGTCTCTGTGTGTGTGCGTGCTCATCTTTTTTTTTTTTTTCTTGCGTCCTCTCTTGGCATTTTAGACGTATATAGTGCCGGAGCAGTCTTGTGGTACAAAAGGGATATCTCTAGACAGAATCGTAATTGCCTTTATTAAATCAAGACTGCATCTAGCATCAAAGTAGACAACCACTTTACTGTAATACTGTGTTTGTATGACCTTCAACAATTTTGATTATTTGTGCGTCAGTACATGGGTGTGTGTGTATGTGTGACCATCTGTGTAGAAGTAACCGTCTTTGGGTTGAGTGTGTGTATGTGAGTGAGCCTAACCCCTGAAGCTACACAGTTGTTGGTGGTGAGAACAGTAGAAAGCCTGCAGCACTCGACACCTGAGAGCAGCAGAGAACAGGTGGATAAGGTCCCAGACCGCTGCAGCTGCTCCAGGCAGTCAGAAGTAAGCACCACCCCAGGGCAGAAATATGCCCTACGCAGAAATATGCCCTACGCAGAGGTAGATTGTCAGAGAAGCACAGGAGTACTGGCTCCCTGGCTAAAGAACCACAGGTTGGGAGCTGAAACACCTGACCTAACCGCCTAACCATCTCCCTACCTCAGGCAAAGCCGGGAACCCAAGACTCTGATCCCAGAGCTCATAACGACCAAGGTGCCAGGGAGGGCACCTCACCAGTCCTCTTGGTGAGGTTGCCCCAGGAAAGTCAAGGGGGTATAAACCCATCAGAGCTAACCCAGTCTGGGCCTCTGAGCCCACAGCAGCCCAACACGTTCCCAGGAACCGTAGGCGACCTGATAGGAGCCGAACACAGTGAGACGAGCCTGTTCACTCAACTAAATCCATGATTTCTTTGTTCTTTGCTCGACCACACTTAAAGCTTGACCTTAGTATGATTTGACAAAAACACAGTTCCAGTTTGAGTCTTGGTAGGATTAAGCATGCTTGTCATGGTAAAATGCTTGTACTTGTCATTCTGTGGTAGAAATTCAGTGGATTGTGCTTTTGTTATATCTCTAATTTAAAAAAAAAAAGTCGGTTCTGCACTGTTTTAGCAAAATAATTACAAGCCATTGTGGAAGGTTCAAAGAGCCACCTGCATATCTGGAGCCGCAGGTTGCAGACCCCTAATCAAGACATTAGGTTGATCTAAAGTTTAAGAATTTGAAAGTACTCCACAGTTTTCACTATCCTGACATTCTTGTGCACTAGTGCCACCAACAATTACTGAATTCATGAGCATGATGCTTCCACCACCATGTTTGAGAGTCGGTGTGGTGTTTTTAAATTTGAAGGCTATTTCCTCCTTCATTTATTTTAGTATTTTTCTCAGGTGTTTGTCGCTCCTTTAGTAATTCTATTAAGAGGCATATGTAATAAGAGAAGGTGATTTTGCAAAGTCCCATCTGAGCTGTTTTGATGTCCTGTTAAGTTCTCTCTGGCGTATAAGAAGCAAGCGCATGTGTCAGAAACCTCAGCTTAAGGATCAGAGCCGTGTTGTTCAGAGGACGAAAATGTTGTGGCGTTGCTGTTCCCATCAATAGGGATGTGGGGGGTGGAAAGCTTAACTAAGCAATCCCAAGCTTCCATAAATCGTGACTCCACGCTATAGCCTCATTGTGTCTGTAAACGGGGAGATTGCAGCTCACCGTACTCTCTGCTCCCGGTTTATTTGAATTTCACAGCCAGCCACATGTTTGTCATGACTGAGAGCTGAAGAAAATGGATCTTGTCAACAGAAATGAATTGTGAGGGATGTCAGGATGTCACGTGGGGGTGTTTTGAAGATCCTGGGGATGTCTCGCAAAGCTGCCAGATTCACTCTTAAAGCCTTAACTGGAGCCCCGTTGACAGGAGCTGTTGATGAAACGCAATGTGCTTGCAGATGAGCTTGCTGGTTCCTCATCTTCACCCTTGCCTACTGTACTCCATTAATCGCACGCTGCCACACATCTGGCCTCTCATATGACACACAAATACCATTTTCCGTCAACTGAGCCTCCATATTTTCTTGAATCTTAGCTAGATGCACAAACACACCCAAGCACACATCCGCACGCATTTCTGTAGGTCATCTGGGAAGTGACACTTGAGGTAGTGGGCTGTGACAGGAAATCCATACAGTTGATCCATGAGTGCTCTTATGTTTGACCGGGGGAGAAAATAGAACGAGAGAGGAAGAGGAAAAGATGAAGGGTGGACTCGGAGGTAGAGGGAAAGATGAGGAGGAGGGAAAACAATGGGGAGTGCCTGTTTGTGTGCTGTGGAATGGATGAGTGGCTTGATGTGGAATATCAGCAAACTGGAACTGAATGGCAAACGCAGTGAAATCATTACTTTAATTAGAGTCGTAATGTCCGCCAAGCAAGCTGGAAAGGATGATAAAAAGCGAGCAGGGAAGAAGGCTAAGCCTCCTATTGATATTTGGCACACAACATTATAGCTATTGACTGTGGCCAGTGCATTACTATGTCCAGTTATTTACCTGGGGCTATTTTTTTAAAGCAATTACTTCAACATTTACATAAAATACCTCACTTATTTGAAATCTTTTGTACTTTAATTACAATGGCTGTGCCCTCTTAGCAGCTAAACATTTCAGCAAGCAGAATATTTATTTTTGTATGTCCATCCCCAGCGATTCAAATGTTTAACTTCTGAAACACACTCTTCAGCTCTTGCACTTCTTTTTATTAGGTATACAGCTCAGTTTAATATTTGTCATGCTGTAGATGCTTTTACATAATGCAGATCAGCCGTTTAGTTCAGAAGATGCTGGCATTTGTTCTGAATCAATCAAGGTCATTTTTAGATCATCAAAAGAAATTGTGTTTCATAAGGACTCTCTTCTTTTTGCTGCGCTTCCCCAGATTTCTTAATGTAATGTTTCAGCAACAACAGAAATAATCAAATCTTGATCAAGTTTATTTGTATGGCACTCACATTAAAACTAACACAACTGTAATAGTGATGCACAATATATTTCAACAATGCTGTCTGTAGAAGCCATTGCATATACATTAATAAATGAACTATATTTTGAATCTACTCCTCTTGTGTAAGACTCTTGCCTTATGTTTGTGTAGAGGAGGCTTTGTCAGTTAGTTTCTGAGGATATGTCAAATGTGACCCAATCCGATTTTCTTTTCTCCCAAATGTGGCGGTTATTAAACTTGTCAATGGCCATCAGAACTGCTCGATTCTGATCTTTTCGTGACCCCAAAATCCTATTTTTTGCCATTTCTATATGTGGTGCTACATCAGACGTGTATCCCATAGTTTTCAAAGCATCAGCAGTCTGAGCGGTCTTATCAACTTTCATTCGACTTTTATGTCGTTGACGTGAGACGTGGATCGTGGCTGCGCACCAGAAGGAGCCAGGCGCACTGAAACCAGACATAAACAGTGGCTGAAAATTGTAATGATGGAAATATGAAGGAAGTCTGTCAGTGGAGTACATCGCCTCACACTTCCACCACTGCTGATCCGACTTCTCATCCAAAACAGATTTCTCTACAGAAGTTGCAGGGCCATTGCCATTTGCTGTGCTTTCTTTTTATTACCTTCCTTTGTCTTATCTTGTGACAGTACTGTCAGCTCCCATTAGTCAATACCTTTAAAATCGCTCCATAGACGGCAGCATCCGTTATTTATTACATACACAGTGTGCAGCTGTGAAACCGCTACGTTCTTCTTCTCTTCTGCGCATGCAGGTCACTTTTAGTTGAACCTGGTCACACAGAAGTTTGCCGTCGCATCATTTGTAGTACGAACAACCACAAGAAAAACTATATTCACCATCCTCATTCTTAACAAAGCATTGTGTCCTATTGCAGTAAACTTTCTCGTATTTATGGAGTGGGGTTTGTGAGAAAAGTATGTGTTTTTGGTTATGTCGGAAGTGGGGTGGGTGGTTCATGAATGCGATTGTTCTATAACTTGTCTGAAATATTTTCTGTTTAAGTTTACTTCAATTAAAAACTTTTCACTGCACATACTTATGTTAGAGGAATTGTGAGATGCTTATTGTGTTGTTTTCACAATATTTAATACCAACTTCGTTTTGATCAAAATTTAGCTTTGATCAACGGAGTAATACTCCTTTTATGTAGCAGTGCTTAAACACGTGCTGAGCGCCTGTCCTCAGCCTTCCTGCACCTGTATGTAAGAGGCAGAATTACACTAAATGGCTGACAATATAATCCTGGCAAAAAACGAGTGACAGAAATGTGAATTCATCCAACTGGTGTGACGACAAAATCTATTCTGCAGTACCTGACTTGGTTCCTGTGTTTGGAGTATCTCCCGAGATGTTTGTCGCAATTTCAATTTGATCGAAAAAATGCTACACTCGCAATAAAATCTCAGACGGCCGTTAATCAGTGTTACTCTCTTTCGGTTCTCACACACGGCAGCCTCTATGCAGCAAAATCAAACTTTTTGAGACAAATTGCTCTGCACAGCTAAATTATTCATCCTACTTGCATCTTTTAAGGTTATGCTCACTGTAATTCCAGCTTTTCTCTCAACAAAGGTTAGCATTAGCCTTGTAGTAAAAGGAGACGGAGGAAGTGAGAGGGCGTGTACACAGACTAAGGGGACCTATTACTCCTGTTTCCATGGTAACAACTGCTTGGTTGCCTTGTCGCCGTAAGAGCCAGGTCTCCCTTGGAGATCAATCTGGTGTGTGTGGTGTGTGTGGTGTGTGTGTGTGTGTGTGTGTGTGCTCTCTAACAGTGTGTGTGTTTGTCTGTGCCAGCTCTGCTTGCTTAACCCACGCAGGCCTTCATTTCAGCCCTGAAGAGCCTGATATAAGATGGGTGTGGTCTGTTGCAACGCCGCAAGATATAAAATGCTCTTTCAACCCTTATATAGTCATAGAAGCCTTTTCACTTGCTGCTACAACTCGGCAGGGAGGAAGTCGGACTCCAAGCACAGTCGGAGTGGATTGGAGTGGATCGGTGACAAAGCTAATTTTCATATTTGATCTAATAAAGACCAAGTGAAAAATAATCAGATGCATAATTTCCAGCAGTTTTTTTTTTCTTTTCAGCAAAATTTCAGTTTACTTGTTTTAAAATTGTTCATGTTTAGAAACGTTTACCTGGTTTAGCGCACAAATATGCTGTCCATCTGACCATGTCTGGCCTTATTTTAACTCATGATGTCTTAATGCAGTGACAGGTTATGATTAGATGTCATGTAAACAAAAACATTAAAGATAAACCAAATATGGGAGAATAGAGATCTCATACGAACATACAGGACAAGTGATTAAAATCAAATGGGAGTAGGCACATGGGGCACACAATAATTTTCTAAATGTGTATAAAAAATGATCAAATATGGATGTTTGTAAGCTTACATAATATAGAAACAATTAAAGAAGAAAAATACAAGTAGGTTAATTGGGACTAGTATAATTGTTGTTCACCACCACTTTTTCACATTTAATGTACACAGCGGGAGGAAACGGTGGGATATGAAACCGGCTTACTAATCTTACATTACAATTGTCATCATTATTAACATCATGAGTAATCTGCAAAGTGAATACTTTAAGTTCAGTGGAATAGTAATTTGTACCTTAGAGTATAACAAAGAGTTTGGTGTAACTTCTGATTAACTTAACATGAGGTGAAATAATATTTATACAAAAGGCTGCAAGAGAGTGCTTTTGTTTTTTTTTTGTTTTTGTTTTTTTTATTGGTGCACATAATACATAATTCTTGCGGTGCAAATTTCCTTAGAAACTACAGCAACGCTTTCAAACGAGACCTGAGTAACAAGATTTTCAGTGAATAGCGTTATGTTGCATACTTATTGATTCTGTAGGAATTGTTCCCGAACAGCTTCAGAATATAAAAAACACAAGCAATTTTCCCTCTTTGACTTTCAGCTCTCTGAACAAGCTTAAGCCACTCGAGTACCTTGTTGTAGAATTGTTTTAGTAATTATTTTAGTTCCTTTGGTTAAAGTGTTATTTTTTGATCCTGTAATGGGCATTATTGTTTTTATTGTTGATCAAGTCTGGTTGTTTTAAAATGTCCTAAATAAAGTTTGTGTTGGTTTCTGCTTCAATGATATCTAACTGATTTACACATGCCTTTAATGTGCAGCAATTTGTCATTTCCATGCTGTATCATGGGGACATAATGAGGAAAAACTACATGGGATATGCATCACAAACTCGCTGCTGAATATGTAGTATTTGCAAACCCTTAAACTCAGCCTTTTGATCTTTCCTCCATTTTCTTTTTTGGCTATGTGTGTGCATGTGTATGTGTGTGTGTGCTTGTTTTTAAAAGAAATTTGCCAAGGGCCAGACCCTGCTGGACATGGTGTGTGGCCATCTGAACCTGCTGGAGAGAGACTACTTTGGCCTGACTTTCATTGACTCTGATAGTTCGAAGGTATGGCACAGAAACATAAACATAAAAGCATGCAAAAAAAAAAAGAAAAAGGGGGAAAAAAAACTTTAACGTATAAAAGCTGTAACAGCTCTCTGTATGCTGAAACTGAACTTTAACCAACTTAAACCTTTCAAAGGGTGGGTTGTGGGGGGTGTATTATGTAAAATCGACCTTTTTGAGCTTTGTAGGATACCTGAAGTGTTGCTTTGATTATTTCATGCATGTTTGAAAAATTCTTAAATCTCATATGACAACCATCTGGGGTTGCCTAAACGCCTATTCACACAAAGCTCCTCCTTCCCCACTGATCTCCACCAGACTAGTGGCAGCAGCAATTGGCAAACACCTGGTGAAACTGCGAGCCTGCTGAGCTTTTCATACAAAGAACTTCTCAGTCAAATGCTCCTAAAATGGTAATGTGGAGAAAGAAGCATTGCTCTGGAGGCATGCTGAAGGAAGAGTGCCGGAAAGAGCAGGAGCTTCTTAAAGAGACTGGGGAAAATTTCAAGCTGTCAGTTAATTTAAGACGGAGGTTCCCAAACTGTGGGGCGCGCCCCCTAGGGGGGGGGTGCTCTATGCGCTGGGTTTTTACCTTAGAATGGCCAACTCTCTGTTATTCCTATGTCAATTTGATACAGTAGAGGCTTCCACACTTCCCATATCTGTGTCCTCTGTCACTTTTATCAGCAGTTAAAACTGTTTAATCCGTTGTTAACATTTCGTAACCTGTTTTTCCGAGCCGCCTTTAAACGCAACATGAGCGCTACGACGCTGGGTTTCCACCTGTGAAGGAGACCTGCTGCTGCTGGGCGGAGCTACGTAGGTTTGTGTTAGAATCACGGCAGTTAAACGCAAAGAACTTTTCACAGTTTTTCCCTCCAAACTAACCGACTGAGTTGAGTGAAGCTGTTGGATGCAGGTAATGTTAGCTAAAAGATGACTAGCTAATATCAATACATCACCTTAAGCTTAACAAGTAGCCTGTTAAGCTACATACATTCATACATACCCTCCCCTTCCCCCCACCGCGCGGCTGAAAACGCATCACTGAACCAGTCAGCTGTTTATAATCCATAGGGGGGACCCAGAAAATGTTTGGAAACCACTGGGGGGACAGGAGAAAAAGTTTGGGAACCACTGATTTAAGACATGTTTGATATTTAAAGCACTTTTATAACAACTGAAAGTAATGTACTTAATTTTGCTATAAGCAAATATTTTGTTTTAAAATTGATCTTCTTTCTAGCTTTTTAAGCCGACTAGCTCACCTGTCTCATTTTTCCAGTATTAGAGCATTGATACTTCACAGCTCTTTTAACAGTGGACTGCTAGTGTTACACACATGACCTTTAATATTTTAAAATGTGATCAGGCAGCTTGGCTTTAAAAAAAAAAAAAAACAACAAAAAAAAAACTGCACAGGATCTGCATAAAAGCCTTAGTGAGATAGTGAGGTGGCAAAATTGAAATCGGCTTACGTTTTTAGTCCAACTATTGGCACTTTTCCATGATGATAGAAGTCTTTATCAAATCTCTAGCATTAAAGTATAAAGCTTTCAACAAGATGGATTTTAAAAAGGAGGAGCAGTGAGAGTGTCCTATGAATATGGATGAATCTGCGTGGGTCACGTTTCTAAAAAGTCTTTTCTGTACTTATCAGAACTGGCTGGATCCATCCAAAGAGATCAAGAAGCAAATTCGGAGTAAGTCTTGTGAAAATGCTGCTCAGATATGCAAAGACTGCAAAATGTGCACACGTTGCGTTTAAGAGCAGAGATCTTCATAAAATATCTCTGCTGCTGGTTTTTCCCACAGTTGGTTCGTGGACTTTTGGGTTTGCCGTCAAGTTTTATCCTCCAGACCCATCTGTTCTGATCGAAGACATCACAAGGTTGGTCGGAAGTGTATTAGTGATTTTTTTATTTTTTTTTTATTATTATTTATTTAGTTTTTTTTTTCTTTGAATGCATTGAAGCTCTTTGAAAAAGGTATTTTAGTTTTTAGCCAAGTACAGCTCATACATTTATAATGATGTGAATAAGTTTCATATTTTCTCTTCTTACGAATTGAAAGTTCATTATATTGAATTTTTTTAATACAAAAAGTGAAATATTTTAAGCCTTTTTGTATTCTTGATGATCATCATTATAATAAAAAAAAAGTAAAAACAAATTTCAGGTCTCAGAAAATTTTAATACATTGACATAAATTATATAAGATGTAGAATATTCTCAGAGATATCAGGCATCCGCAAAACATGTTCATCTTGATGCACTCACTGCTTGGTTGGGCCTCCTTGTGCATGAATTACTGCATCAATGTGGAGTGGCATGGAGTTGATCAACCTGTGGTACTACTGAATTTTAATACTTTTTCAGTTCACTTGTGAAGCTCAAGCAAGTTTTTGAATAATTTTGACAATCATTTCAAAATTGCAGTTATCCTTCTTGCTAATGCACCTTCGTCCTAAGAAAAGAGTCGAGGTTTGGTAGTGGTTGATATGCTTCAAGGTCTTTAAAAAAAACAGTTTTGCCTGAAGTGGCATAGACAAATGTTTTTGCTGTTACTGTTACCAGTTTGATAAGCCGCCTTATCTGTGCACAGTTTCCAGAAAACAGTTTGTATGTTTAACTTTACATGGCCTACTTTACCACCTACTTTATCTAATAGATCAGGAATAGATCAGTTTTTTTGGTTTTAGTCATCCAGTCAAAACACACAAAAGCCCAGAGATTTTTTTTGTCTTTTTGTATTTAGGCTTTCTGAAATATTTTTTACATAAGTTTTCAGGCTCTTTGTTTTGTTACGGCTCAGCGACTCTGTGTCCTACTTCTGTCAGTAGTCTTTCAGTTGCTTCTGCAGTTTGACGTCAGAGCATTTTTGTCTACCTGAATTTATGGGCACAATTATGAGAGTTTACGTGGTATGGGATGTTCTTGTGTAACATCATGTGAAGAAGAAATACTGAAATAAAAACTGGTATGGATCATGTTAAAAAAATTGTTCGCCACTTTGATCCTAGATCGTCTCACAACTTCTCAAAATGAATCTGAAAAGTGGATACTTTTATTTTCCAGAGAACCGGACATGTCACTACAACTTTGTAAATTGATTGCAATCCAGATGCATGCAGATTTTTGTATTTTGCAAAAATAAGAACACATTTTAAATCATTCAACATTTGCTAGCATCGAAGAAAAAATTTAAACTTCAGATCCTTTATCAGCATCTGAGAAGTTGAAGGGGAAGGAAGAACTTGGCTTATTTCTGAAATATAAATAAGGCTGCGATAATGAAAAATCTTGTGTTGGCATATTGGTAAATACCAGTTGTGTTGTAGGTAAATAGTTTTCCTCTCATCCATCTTTGCTTCCATCACTCTGCGACCTTTAGCATTAAAGGCGACGTGCCGGTGAGCATCTGCTGCCAATAAACTCGGTCAACTACCTAAATATTGCATTAGCATGAAAAATGCAGGCTAAGATCTTGGCATATATTGGCCAACTATTATTGCAGTCCTTTGTGATACGACTGTTCCACACACTGATATTGCAGTGACGATTAAAATGCGCTACATTGCGCAACACTGATTACAATAAATAATCCTGATTTAAATTGGGAAAGGTTGTGAAGGCAGCTGGAATCAAAAGTCTCGGGACCACTTTTGTGATCAGCCAACTGAGCCAGCTCCAGACTGCAGTCACAGTTGAACGGGGGGGGAGCCTTACTTTTACTTTTTCTCAAACTCATCGTAACATAATTAACATCTAATTAACATTAAAAAAAACCCATAAATATTTACATCTACTTGCTATTTCCTTGAGGCGGGTGTCGCATTCCTGGATCAGCTCTGAATCATCTCTGAAAAATAGATGGAATTTAAGACATTATTACTCGAAATTATTTCGATTTCAAACAAATCTGAATTAGATGAAGCACCTCAAAATCTCCTCACCGCAGCAACTTCCCCCTGGGCAAGAATGTAGCTGAATGATGAGCCATCTGCTCTTGAGAGTTTGGTTTTTACTATGCGTCACAGTTTTGGGGCTCTCTCATTTCGCAGAAACATAATGGCATAATGGCATGTAAAATGTGTGCTACGTTATCAGTTCAATCATCTTTTTTTTTTTTTTTTTACAGCAAATCACAAATCTAGCATTTCCCGTTTGGATACAGTAACTCATGTCATGCGTTGAAGTTTGTTGATTCTAAAAGTTATACTGCCTTGATTTTTTTTTTTTTACATTTGTTTGGGGGGTGAGAAGCACGCTGTTGACTTATTTCATCACCGATTAATTTGCACTACTTTGCATACCATAAACAAAGTTGCCTCACAGCTCAGCGGTTACTGGCAAATTAACTCCCACAGACCTTCAAAAGAAGCAGATGGAAGCCAAAGAAATAATAAAAATTTCACTAATGAGCCACATTGAGATGGCTGCCTCTTATAGACGGACCGCTACGCGGGTGTGAGATTCAGAGCAAAATGTTTGCATCACTTTGATATCTTCCACATATTTAAAAGATCTAAAATGTTTATGAGCCTCATTTCTGTTTGCTGACCAGCCCTCGCTTCCCCAGAGCCTCACACAGCCCTAGCATTCTGATTCGAGATCGACAAGAATCGAGTTGCTGATTTTCATAGCTTTGAGCCATTTGTTTGGAATAAAGTGGTTTCTGCAGCTTTTTATTTCCGCCTCCCCTGCTGGTTCCAAGGTACTACCTGTGTCTGCAACTGAGAGACGACATCCTTTCCGGCCGCCTCCCATGCTCGTTCGTCACGCACGCGCTGCTGGGCTCCTACACCGTCCAGGCCGAGCTGGGAGACTACGACCCCGAGGAACACGGCCCGGACTACGTCAGCGAATTCCACTTTGCTCCAAACCAGACGCGAGAGCTGGAGGAGAGAGTGATGGAGTTGCACCGCAACTACAGGTCAGAAAAATAAAGCTGTGATTGCCACCGTGATGCCAGTGTTTGGATCTGAGGAGAGAGTTTGAGGAGACGAGAAACAACCGATCCTCTTTTGGGATTTATTCCGTAGGGGGATGACTCCAGCCGAAGCAGAGATGAACTTCCTTGAAAATGCTAAGAAGCTCTCGATGTACGGAGTGGATCTGCATCACGCAAAGGCAAGAGGAGATTTCTCTCATTTCCTCTGCTGAAATCCTGCATCCCCTTAATGCCCTTTTTTTTTATCTTCTTTGATAATCTATCTACCTTCCCCAGGATTCTGAGGGAATAGACATAATGCTTGGCGTTAGCGCAAACGGGCTGCTCATCTACAGAGACCGCCTGAGGATCAATCGCTTCGCCTGGCCGAAAATTCTCAAGATTTCTTATAAAAGAAGCAACTTCTACATCAAAATCCGTCCTGGAGAGGTAAACAAATCTATGAATACATTTTTTTTTTCCCTCCACATTTCTGTGGTTTAACCAGAGTTCACTACACCATTACTGCATGCCCAGACTCACAATAAACCCCCCCTAAAAATAAACCACACAGCCACTGATGCAAGGCTCGTGGATGGAGAGATTATCGGGCAAAGAACCAAGATCGCTTTTTTTTAAAAATTTATTTATTTATTTTTTATTTCATGGGTTCACAGTTGTTACGATTACATCATTGCTCCTCTTGGCTGGTGCCGAGCAGCATAAACACTCATTTCATGGTTTGGTAAGTGTTGCTTCTGTGATTTATCTGGCGCAAACCACCTTAACTGCTGAGGGCATTACTTATCTCCTTTAGAGCTACCTCTGTGAAGACGGAGTAGATGTGTCTTGTTTTTCTTCCTGTAACTTTAAATGTAATTAGGTTTTGGAGTCGTCAGAGTTTTCCACATTAAACTCACTTAAGTTGTTATGATTTTCCTTCACTCCTCGGCCTTTTTGGATACTACTGACTCCTTTTTTTCCCCCCCCACTGTTAAACTGCTTCTGACATCCTTGCGGTGAAAACCAAGGCCATTTTATGCATTCACTTTTCCTGCACATCTGTCCTCTTCAGTTGGCTGTCACTTCAACTGTGCCTTGAGGATTTTTTTTTTTTTTTTTTTTTTTTTAAAGGATTTTTTTCCCCGGCTTTCCCCCTCCCATTTTTTTTTTTTTTTTTTGCATGAACAATAGGTGACCTTCTCACGTGAATGGATATCTCTCAGCCTTTGAAGACCCGTTATTGCTAATAACTATTGATTTGACAGCATCTTCTTCTCTGCACACCAGTGAACCTTAGTTGCTGGGTGCATAAATGGGTAATTTATGAGCTGGCTTTAGACGGCAATGCGCCGAGAGACAAGCGAATACAGTTGCACGAGTAAATAAAAAGGAGAAAAAGATGGATTTTTTTTTTTTTCCTTTGCTGTGGAATAAACACAATTCATCCTGCTGCCATTCATCCACCTTTCCACACACCTGGTTCCCTCACTCTCCTTTTCTTCTTCACCTCCCTCCGTCCCCACTGTCTTCACCACCTCCACTTATCTCCCTCACCACTCAGTACGAACAGTTTGAGAGCACCATAGGCTTCAAGTTGCCCAACCACCGGGCCTCGAAGCGGTTGTGGAAGGTCTGCATAGAACACCACACCTTTTTCAGGTAGGATAGACAGATTCACTTTCTCAGCACTTAATTCTTTGCCTACTGCATGAATGTTGACGCTTGGCATGCCGCAGCTCAAATCACTGTTGACTGAGGTTTCAGACGTCTCTCTGTTCTTCGTAGACTGACTTTTGTATAATCTTGTAAATCAGTAGTTCTGCTTTTACCCAAAAAAAAAAAAAAAAAAAAAAAAAAATCTTTGAGGTTTTCTTTTGAAATTTTTAAAAACTTTAAACAATTTTGGGCTTTGTTTTGCACTTGACTCTTTTCAGAGATTTTTAAACAATCCCTTTAAGGTATTCGAGGATGAATAGCTACTTAACCCAGGAAATATTTGGCTCAAGGCACAATTTATATCTAGTTCCTATATGATAAATATAATATATTCAAATTAATACAACTCAGTAAGTCAGTCAAGCAGATTGACTGACTCATTGTTGAGCATTCTGGATGTGTGTTACAAACTGATGCCAGAACATAACTTGAAAAATAGTTTTCTTTTTTTCCCACCAACAAGGTTATTTTCAAACAGCTGTTCAGTGAAAATATCAGAGGACGGTGCACAGTGTCTAATAAAGTCTGTAAGAAAGAGTTATGTGTTGGAGAAACTCCCAGGAGGAATCTTGATCAAACGCCCAAATCACCTCAACAGGTTCCTTTTGATGCAGATGTGCAGCAGCTGTACTCCAAATCCGTGGTGTGGAGCAAAGCCCACATTGCTGCAGACGAGGCCCTAATCAATCTGTTCATCTCCTTTTCATCCTACCATCAATGTGAGCAAGACACAAATAGCCCCTGGTAGAGTCTCTAATGACAAATTGGACTTTGAGAAGGGCTCAGACTGCGGGGATTTCCAAAGTCCTAATGGAAACTTAACACTGAAGTAGGTGAACCTCACCCAGAACGGAGAGGCTGGGCTGGGGCATCCTCCTGGAGCCGGGCTGTCTGGGTACCAGGCTGGCGACTGATTGGTGGTGGAGCCTTGGTTCCTGAGGGAGCCAAAGGTCAAAGAGAAGTAGCTTTGAAATCTATAATAACAGCAATTAATCCCTGTGAAAATTAAAATGCGAATAATAAAAAAAAAAAACATCAGAAAACATCCATAAATAATAATAAAAAAAAAAAGGTTTATAGTATCCAGGTCTTACCAGAAGTTACTCAAGAGATTTTTAAATTGGGATATCAATGCATAACACGATGCCCATCAAAAAGGAAAGTAAGGGCAGCAAAGTCTGCAGCTCAACTGAATTTAAATTATCGAAAGGAAAGATTTGGATGACAGTTTATCTACTGAGGAGACCAGGAGAAAATGCTGTCCTGGATTTGCTGATACTTGATAAACCGGCACTCTATGAAGGGATTCAAAAGCTCCCTGTTCCCAGCCCAACTGCCTGTTATTCACCACAGTAATAAAAGGCTACTTGTAACTTGCTACATTACTACTTCTAGCAGCTTTTGGGGAAAAAGTCATTTCTGCTCCAGTTCTGACCAGCATTAATACTCTGACAGGTGAAACTATATCATGATTTGCATCAAACTGTCACCAGAACATTTTTAAAAAGGAGACCTGCTGTCTAATCCTGAAGACCAATGCACATCTAATGTCATGTGCTGTTTGTTACACATTTAATTAAAATCTAAAATGTATATATAGATATATTTTTTTCAAAGTAATTAATCTCTAAGTTTTATATATATATATATAATATAAACTGAGGTTTATTTCTACAGGTTGGTTTCCCCAGAGCCGCCCCCGAAGGGCTTCCTCGTAATTGGCTCAAAGTTTCGCTACAGTGGGCGGACCCAAGCGCAGACGAGGCAGGCCAGTGCTCTGATCGACCGCCCGGCCCCGCAGTTTGATCGGTCCGTCAGCAAGCGGTACCTGCAGCCACGAAGCATAGATGGAGGTTTGAACTCCAGCTCTGTCCCCTGTCTGTGCCCAGGTTTGTGTTCTGGTTGATTGTTCTAGAGGAACTTTACATTTTACTGTTCCTCTGCACTTCCGTCTCCACAGCCTCAGCTTTAGGTGACAGTATGGATCAGCTGTCTCAGAGAAGCTCTAGCGAACGCACACAGTTTATGTCCCGGGAAGACCTGGATCAGGAGGGCAGCCTTGACCTGGACCATGACCACTATCTCTACCAAGACCAGGACCAGTACACGGACCAGGAAGCGGAGCACCAGGATGGACAGAAACAGCCAGTGGGAGCCATCAGCTCGACGCCCACAAAGGCTTTGGAACTCAAGGTAAGAAAAGGTGGATTCAAGGCCAGAAACCGCACAGAGAACCATTTTCAGGCTCCACGGCTCCCAGTTGTCAAAAAGCTCAAACGCGTGGATACAGTGTGAATTAATTATATCGATCCTCGAGAAAGTTCTCATTAGCCACCGCCTGTCAGTCTGGAGAGGAGACGAAATGATCCACTGAGTAAAACACTGCGACTCTAAGAACCTTGGAGAAGCTTTGAGAGCACCATTGAAATACCATTCGAAAAGCTTTCTGCAATTTTGCCCATCGGTTTTAAAATACTGCATGAACTTCTTATTTTCTCCTTCACAATCCTTTTTATTAAAGACACTAATCACCATCCTTTTGCTTCTCTTCTCGGCCTAATATCCTATATTCTTATAGGACCTTTAAGTCTTCTCTGCTCACTACTTTTTTTTTTCTTTTATCTAACTTGACTTCTTTGCTGCAGATAGTATTTGTCACACTTGCACCCTGCCTCATGAATCTTCTTCTCTTGCTGCTGCACTCCTAACATACTTCACTAACCTCAGCTGCGTTTCTCCTACATTTCCGTCCTCTACCTTGTCCTTGCACCCAGGATGAGGAGCCAGGCATTCCTATAGACACGAAACCAGAGGTATTTTGGTCACGTATCTTTGTGTCTTTCTGTGGTTGTTTTTAGGTCATGCTATGTTACTCTATGCTTAAGCAGTTAAATGCCTGTGGAAATATTTCTATTCCAGGATTCAGCTAACTGGAATCCATGGAAGCTGCATGAACTGATGTTCAGAAGAACAAAAGAAAAAAGTTGTTACGCGTTTATTTACATTCCACTTTACATTTTATTTTCTCCCTGCGGTATAAGAGTTTCATTGGAAAGCAAAAAAATGATTCAAACAAATTAATAATGTTTATGCCACAAATTCAGCAGTGGGCATCTTGACTGGGGTTTGTGTTCATTCCTAACGAAGCAAAACTGGCTTTGTCGACACGTACTGTTAAGTCATACAGATGCAACTTCAGCGCCTTGCAAAACTATTTGTGTCGTCTTTGACTTTTTTCTCATTGCAACAACTACAAACTAAAGATTTGAATGGGATTTTATGTGATAGACAAACACAAAGCAGTGGAAAATTTTGAAGTGGGAGGAAAATGATTCATCGGTTTCAAAATAACTTTCATGCAAAATCATCTGTTTTTAGTTAACAGTGCAACATATTTACTCTGACATTGTCTAACCTCATAAATTCAGTTTATTTTTGTGTAATTTATTCTCAGTATTAAAACAATTGTCTTTGTAGAGCACTCATGTTTTTATTTGACCAAAAATGAACAAGTAAGTCTCGGTCACTAAGCAATTCTCTGTTTTCAGCGTCAGTCTGAGCATTGTGTGATCAGTTGCAAAAAAAAAAAAAAAAAAAAAAAAATGGAAAAGGTATGGCACAGCAAAAGATAGCTTAAAAAGTAAGACTGACCTAAACACGAATCAGAAACACAGCTGAGAGAGTAATGAGTTGGGGGAGAACTAAAATTGGAAGCTCAAACAACAAAGAGGAAAAAGTGCAAATCAATGTGAGGAGGAAATTTGGTGGTATAAAACAATAAAAAAAAAAAATCATATGAAATGGTGTGGTCATGTGTTGAAATGATCCAAAGTCTAGACTTAAATCCAGTGGAGAATATGGGGTTGTTTCTCAGGTCCAGTCTGACTCAGTTTATTCGTTTTTGTATAGAAGAATTAAATTCCACCACACACTTTTTAGAATTTAAATTTTAAAAGCATTTTAAAACACAAATCCTTTCCCAATAATATACAATACTTTGTCTTAGTCTGTCACTTAAATACATTTAAATTTATGCTTGCGACATGTCAAGATATGAAAAAAGCAGAAGAACCGCAAATATTTTTGCCAAGGCTGTGTGTGTGTGTGTGTGTGTGTGTGGGTGTGTGTGTGTGTGTGTGTGTTGTCGTCTTTTGTCAGACAAACGACCATTCAATTAGCACGTTATTGGACTTCTCATTTTGTGGTTTGCTCTCATCAAATCGTTGGATAAAGAAGCACGGGAATAATCCTCTCTCAAACACTCGAATCAATAAGCGACTGCATTAATTATCATTTGGCTGACACTGAAATGGATTGTCCCCGTCTTCTTGGCAGAACATTATTCAGCTTAATAGTCTCGAGTCAGAAGTCCTCCCTCTGCTGCCAGATGGTAACAGCTGTTTCTGTCTGTCACTCTGGCTGCCCGTTTGCCTGTTTTCACTCACGTGCTGCATTTTACCTCTTTGTCTCTGCACACATCTGTTCCCACGCGTCGCCCCTCAAACTCTGCTGCTTTGCCCCTAAAACCGCTCAATCCACCTCGCCCGCTTGCACACCCCCCTTCCCCACCTCATCTGTCGGACAAGGATGTGGTGCACCTTCGGCCCAAACAGGAGGTACTGCTCGTCCTCTTATTTCTGGCATGTGCTGTGTATGAACGTCGTCGGGAGGTCTGTGATGACGAGTTTACGTCTGCATCGTTCGCTTGTCGGATGCACAGCAAAAATAAAAGAGTCCAATTTTAAAGCTCCCATCGCTGTGGTGCACGTAGCTGTTTAATGCATCACTTTAATTCGTAATAATGGTTCCGAATGTCAGTTTCAAAGATGTTTGCGAGTTGAAGAGCTCTTATGTTGAATAATAGACACGTATTGGATTTTTACAGAACTCAATTAGCTCCGGCTTTGTGTAGCAGAGATAACGACTTGTCTTTTCAATTGCTAAACGATGTTTTCTTTTATTTTAATTCTGGCTCGTATATTAAAACGTATAGACTCATTTTGACTCAATAACTCGAACAACAATTCCTTTCTAAGTGGACTTTATTTCATCTGCAAGGGTACAAAGTGGAACCATATCAGTCACTGGTCATGTATCAAATGCATATAGTTTGCATATTTTTTGAAGAACATGATGCAACGACCTCTGTCATTTTAAACGTGATATAAAATTAAAGTTTGAGTCGAGGAAATGGAAGTTTTTCTTTTTTTTTTTTTTTTTTACAAATCAAATATATTTAGCTGAGTTTAGACATGGTAACTGTGTTTACATTTCTAGCGAGCTGGGTTAATTTCTGTTCATGTTGTCCGTTGCTGTCCGAGCAGCAGTTTCTGGATAAGCCGGAGGACGTCCTGCAGAAACACCAGGCCAGCATCAACGAGCTGAAGAGAGCTTTGAAGCAACCCAACAGCAAGAAGGCGCCGAGAGAGAAGCGCCTGCCTTCAGCAACTCCTCCTGCAGGAACCCCGGAACGGAAAACGGTACGACTCGCTTCCTGCTCTTTGCGCTCACTTGTTACGCCTTTTATTTCTTAATCACGTAATCTTGAATCGACTCACAAAAGTCCTCTGTTCATGTTAATTGCAGGTGTAAATGTCCAAACCTGTCACAACTCAGCTTCAACTAACACAACTAAGTTAAATTTAAATATCGTCAATTGTCCTCACTCGTAGAATTTTGCTGGATTGGACATTTTAAATTGAAACCAAATGTCTGTCTTCTTTTAATAAAGCTCCTTATAAAGTCTTTGAATGCCTGTAAGTGGTTAATTAAGTATTTGCTGAATTAATCACTAAGTCCCTGCTGTGTCAGCCACCTTAAAGGTTCAGCAGGCTATGGTGAGTAAATCTTCATTAGTGCAGAGTGTTTGAGGGTTGCAGCCTCATACTGAGTTCTTTCAGGGTTTGGCCACCACTGCTATTGTACAGTTTATAACAGTTTCTTAACTCTTGGGGGGGATCATATTTGTAGTAGATAAAACTCCATGGCAGCCGGGGTATTTGCATAGATTCCACTGTGAATGCTAGAATAACTTTAACACACAGACATATGGCGCTGTAATAATTTTCTACAGCCACGTCTCTTGATATACCGTATGAATGAAACACAAGCATATTGGTGAGGGTGTCAGGCCATGCTGTTTCTAATAATATCAAAACAAATATTACCTCAATAAAAATGAAAACGAATGAATAAAAATTAGGCAAATTTTTAAACTTTAAACATTTTTTTCTTTTTGCCAATTTATAAAGGCTTCACAATAAACCCAGTCCAGTGGGAAAATGAACGATGGGTAAAAACCAATTACTTTGCATAACGTTCACGTTCAGATTCTTTAAAAATCTAATAAGTAGATTTTTAAATTACAATATTTACACTTATTTGGGAGCTCGATGTAGAGAAATATTAGGTAATTGTTTCATAGACCATGTTCCTATTATTTTCATTTGGGTAACTTGAAAACTTGCACAGAACTTGACTCTTGGGGCTAAAGAGGGATTACTAATAGAGGATTCATTTTTAGGCTAATACAAACTGTCTACTCTGTCAATTTAGGCAACCAGTGATGCCAAATTGATTGAGAAGCAGGATGGGTATGAGACCACACTGGATTCTTACTTCAATGCAGAAAAAAGTGAGACCTCATCAGGGCCAGAGGCAATTACGAACAATTGCCAAACATCCAGGGAATGTTTAACTACTAAGCTGGGAACATCTGTAACTGACTCAGCAGGACGGAGAGATATGAACAAGATGGAGGACGCAACTAACGGCCATCATGATTCTGCGTTAGTGAGGAATATGCTTCATGAAAATGGATATGGCTCTCCACCTGACAAGATGATGAATGAAATGAACAAAGACACAAACATTTCTCTGTACGAGCGTCGAGCGAAAAACAAACCCTTTGAATCTCTTGCAACTGTGGATTCCTTCCCTAAGGGCGACAGACCTAAAAGTGAGAGTGGCAAAAGGCACAGTGATGCTTGGAAAACGAGAGACCTGAGCCCCGACTCGGGGGAGAAGGATGGTAACAAAACTGTGAACTCGCATTCAGAAGTCACCAAAATAGCTCCGCTCAAACCGCAAAGATCAAAGAAGTCTTTGAATAAGGAGAACAAAGTTGTAAATCCTCAAACTCAAAGCCAGTCTGACAAAAGCGCATTTGGTGCTGCTGGGAATGGACAGATGAATAAATTGCCCTGCGAGTCAGGAAGGAGACATGACGATGCCACTGTGCTGCAGTCTTTGGAGTCGTATCGGCAAACCCAAGTTCCCCATCAGACGACGAGCGAGTTGTTATCACAGAAGGAGCTGAAGGACTGCAGAGATTCAGCAGGGACAAGAGGGAGTTCTCTGCATGAGGACAATTTTCCAAACATCTTAGAGTTTAGCTCCAAATTTCCCACTGCTCCCCCTCGCACCCTCCCTCTGAAAACGCACTGGTCTCGAGAGAGACCAAACAACATCGACAGCAGCCACATCCACCACCGGACCACCAGCCAAGAAACGGCCAAGAGAAAGCAACCGGTAAACCGCCAGTTCCTTCCAAGCCTGTTTTATCCATCATCGGAAACTAAAGCATTGCATGAGCTTCAGCCAGTGTGGTTTTCAGATCTTGTTTTCTAATCATCTGAATACAAAATAACATCACACACACGCATAATCCTTCAAAAGTCATGTGGCTGCTAATGAGAAAGCAAAAGTTCGCGTCCCTGCGCATCGTACCATTGACTGCCTCAGTTCACGTCCATGGGATCAGGAGCATTTTGCTTTCGCCCCTCCCCCCTACCCTCCCGTTTCTTCTGCAGAGCTTCACGTCTGCTCGGCCGTTTGAGAACGCTGTGGGCCTTTAAGCAAAGCTCATGTTGCTTAAGCTTCAGGCGTCCTTAACTCTGTCAACTTAACACATAGTCTCTCCTTCCAACAGCCTCACAAAGTGAAGGAGGTCGTTGTTGCAAGGAGTTCAAGACCTTTTCACCCTTTTTTTTTTCTTTTTTCTTAAAGCCTATTTTCACATAATTTAAATCCCTTTTTGCAAAAAAATAATAATAAAAAAAGCTTTGAGCATCTGAAGCAAATGTTCTATCTTGGCACCTCTGTAGCAACAAGAAAAAAACGGGGGGGGGAAAAAAAAAAAAAAAAAAAAACATTACAAGTAATATCCTGCAGAACTGCCAAGCCGCCTCAGGGCTGGGGTATTCATATGCTGCATTTCCAAATATGAATACATCTCCCCTGAAAGGGAATTTCTTTCTGTTTTTTTTTTTTTTTAAATCAGATCTCTCAGTGCATGGCATTACCATTGCACTTGCAATCATTTTTGTTGATATAATCCACTGAATGATACTTCAAGTGCATGCTTCTGACAGCAGCTCTACTTTCTAAATTCTCAGTTGTACATTTAAGGAGTTGTGTGTTCATTTAATGAAAAGGAACTCACCTGTACCCTGCATCCAGCGCTATGAAAGCTTACTCAAGTGCAATGAATAATAATAATAATAATAATAATAAAGTCACATTATTTACTAGAAATTCTACCTGTTACAATATAAGCTGGGATTCAAGTGGAGCGTGACTTAAAAAAAACAAAACAAAAAAAAAAAAAACTCCCAACTTTCCTTAACTTCCCTTTCCGATATGCTTAAAAACACTTCCATCACGAGTCTTGTTTTAATGTTTTGCTTATTGTTTGTGTTTTTACTCTCTAGGACACGCCTCCGAGCCCTGCCATCCACGAGGAGCATTTCAGCGAAAGTTCAGTGAGTTCAGCACTTTGATTTGTTTGGCCATACGTCAGGCGAGAATGTTCACGCTTTTAAAGAACTGTTTGTGAGTTTTAATCAGTCCAGCACAAAAATTATGTTGTCTTGATCCACGTCCTTTAAGAATAGGCATGTTAAGTCACTCTGATGCACGATCAAGACAAATATGTTGTGTGATTTAAGTGCGCTGAAACGTAACATTTTTCTGACTCGACACGTAAAGCTTCGACGAACTAAATGAAAAATGTCAACAGGTCCAAAGTGTAAGTTTATTAAAGTGCAACTAAGCTTTAATAAACACATTAGCATGTTATCTTTCTGTTCTGATAATTGCCTTTTCGAACTTTTTTGAGCGCTATCAATACTTCTAGAAATTGGACACCGGCTTCATTAATGTAGCGCTTTGCTTTCAGTGTCTCAAAATTTAATGACTTCATCTGCCAAATGTGGATATCAAACATCAGCACAGAGCAGGTCATGTGACACAGACAGACCAGCAGCTACTGCAGTCAATAAAGTCTCTCCAACACTCTCAACATTATTATAAACAGTAAAATATACTTGGCTGGTAAGGGGAAAACGATTAATTCCTTTTTTTACACTATGGTGGGATTCATGTGATGCTTGCTCATAAGAAAAGAAGCATAAGAATAAAACCAACTAGTCAGAAATAAAATGTGTGACTTCTTATGGGATGGCCTGATGAGATTACTTACATGAGGTTGCTACTTTAGGTTTTCAAAAAACACATCCATAAATTAAAGATAATTTAAATGTCTTTTTTCTTTTGTTTGTTTGTTTTTTCTCTATAGAAGGAACCATGGGAGAGACGCCTAGGCTCTGTGTCCGAGGATGACCAGGACCATGACATCCTCTACCTGAAGGAAACCCACCTGGGCATCGAGCGCAAGTGTTCCAGCATCACTGTTAGCTCGACCTCCAGCCTTGAGGCTGAAGTAGATTTCACCGTCCTTACAGATCTGCAAACGGGCATGGAGGAGTTCTCCAGGGGTATGTCAGAGTTGGGAGAGAGGGATCTTTCGCCCGACGGGGGGCTGCGCTTCGGGATCGACTTGCTCCAGCAGCAAGGAGCCCCCGAACCACCGCCTCCGTTAGTGTCCGCTCCTCTCGCCAGAGGAGCTAGTAGCAGCCCTCCGGCCAGACTTATTCAGGCTGAAGAGGTCCGACCAGATGTTCGAACCGAGGTCAGACCAGAGATCCGACCAGAAGTCAGACAAGATGTCAAAAGACCCGACGGCCAGGTAGCCTTTTCAGAAGCTTTATGCAGTAATTTTTGTACTCCTTTCCTATTGTTTGGATAAAATTAAAGTAGAAACCAAACCAAACCAAATTTTTTTTTTTTTTTTTTTTTTTTTTTTTTTTGCAAGCCTGTTGTGCCTAAAAAACCAAAGAGGTCAGTGCCAGTGTCATCATCAGTGGACAGAGATCAGTCGCACAAAGAAGCCAGTCGCCTCCCTACAGTAGCGCCTCTGAGCAGAGAGGCCAGTGATGTCATGCCCACCCCAACAGTGAGAAAAACCGACACCAGGACAGAGACTCAGCCCAACGGGTCAGAGCTCACCACCACCATAGTTGAGTTCACAGATCAGGTTGGGCTCATGGCTTTTCGACACAATCAGAGCTTGAAATGTAAAGTTAGCTGCTTCGAGCTAAAAATACGTGACACTGATTGGGTCTCTGTTCCAGGATCACGGGATCACGTCGCTAAGCGAGGTTTCTTACTCTACGAGACAAAGCGTATCTCCAGTGAGTATAAACAGGACCTTGACCGTTTAACCTGCCGTCCAATCACTTCAAAAGATGACAGACATGAATGCATAGAGGCTTTTCATTTTTAAACATCCGACATCACTTGCATACCAGAAACACTGAAACAAAAGTAGATGTTGACCTTAATCTATTTAAATGACAGCCCAATTTAAAACATGTGCACCTTATACACACAGCAGAGGGGAGATTAGGACAAAAACTGCTCTAACAACATGGCTTTTTTCATCGTTATGGAAACAAACCAGACTCAGAGTTTGTCCACAGCGAATGCTCTTATCAGGCAGCTTGTCTTGTGCTGGAGACAGTCGATTTTTTTATTTATTTATTTATTTATTTTTTACGATGTCTTGTGATGTTTTGGAAATATTTGTATTTATTATGACTCCAGAAGCACTTTGTGAAAGCATACAAACCTGTTTATATTTTGTCATTATAAAATCGTGGATTACTAGTTGAGTAAGATGAGAGCTGAATACCGTGCTGCAGCTCCAGCTGCCTTTAGGGCTTCTGTTCCAAACATCAGAGGTGCCTCAGCAGGGGGGACTCTAGTAAAGCTGCAGTAGGTATCTTTTATTTACATATATATATATATATATATATATTTTTACATATTTATTAAAACTGTCACAAAACTCTGACAGCATAACAGGAGACTGCTAATCTATGCTCCTCTGATTCCTCGATGTGCTGCTTTGCCATCTGCAGAAATGCACTCTTTCTCGTCAGAAGCAGCCAATCAGAGCCAGGAGGAAGGTCTTAATGCTGTCAAATACAATTGTGTATGTGCTGCTCACACCTCCCTCACAGCACATACAAGCTCAAGCTTGCTGGTTTGCAGCAGCTGCTCTAATGGTAGAGAAGCAAACTAACATTCATGGCGGGCTCCGCAGTGGGGGAGGAGGTGTTGTGCAGCAGAGAGCAAGGGAGAGGGTGTGAGCAGCGTGTACACGAGTGCTAAGACATTCCTCCTGGCTCTGACCGTTACTGACCGGGAGCGGCGTATTTCTGCAGATGACTGGAGGACCACAGGGAGGAGACATGGGACCCAGATTTTTGCACGGATTATGCCCCGTACTATAAAGTCAGGACATGGTGACTGTTTAAATGAATATGCAACAAAAACAAATTTTTTTCTAAAAGTTATCTCCTTTAAAGCCACCCTAACATGCTGTTAGGAGAAATGACCTGAAGGACTTTGGGGAGAATCAAGTGTAATGAAGCTGTAGAAGCCTGGCCCCATGACAGGAATCCTGATTCCTGACACTTCACTAAGTGAAAGAATGACACGCCTCTGTCTGGAAAATATGAAGGGCACAGCAGACGAACAGGATGTGATGCAGCTTTATGTTAGACATCTGACCAAGTGTCTGAGAGCATTTCTGTTTATGTTTCAAAGGAATGTACTAATAAACATTAATATTTGTTACCTTTGTCCATAAATGTGCACCACTGGAATTAGCAACCTCACTGAACACCACTCTATTATTTCTAATGCACTTCTTTGAAATGAAGTTTAAACAACAGAATTAGCACATGCATATTATGACTGCTGGGCTTTAGGGCTTGTTTGTTTGCCATTTAGGAAAGTAATTTGCTGTTATTTGAATGCAGCTGCAACTTTAATATGCATTTGGCTACTTAGCTATTGACAAACAACTCAAAGAGGCTAATAATGGTCATTTCCATGGAAAGTCGCTAGCAAATGGGACAGAAATTTTAATAGTATTGTGCTAACTATCTTGTAATTTGTGTTTGGCTGCGTTTTGCTTTATCAGGTGCACAGAGGCGGTTTTGGAAGAGAGTCGGCTGGTTCGCCTATCCTTGTCGCTGAAAACGTTACCTCAGCAACCACTCATGTCTCAAAGGTACGGAGGTAGAAAAAAAAAACACAAGGGACATGCAATCGTCTGGCATTTGTTGAAAGACTTTTATCTGCTAATCATCTACGGAGTGCCAACTCTGTGTTGCAGACGGTGAAAGGTGGATACTCGGAGACGAGGATTGAAAAGAGGATTATAATCACTGGAGATGACGACGTGGACCAAGAGCAGGTGAGACAGGAAAGAGTTAAATAAAACAGAATCCAAAAAGAAGGGAAGACTTGTGATCTGTGGAAAGGTCAGACTTGAAACACAGTTCAAAGTGGTCAGAAAAAACAAAAAACTGAAAACAAACAAACTGAAAGAAGATAAAATTGTCCATAAAGAGTTTTTAAATATATCCATATCTTAAAAGCAATTACAATTTATTATTTCAGCTAAATTTGGAAGAGGAAATCTTGAATAGAAAATGGCAACATTTTATTTATTGTGGGGAACAAGATAAAAAAACAAAACAAACATCAATAAGTTACTAATTCATGTGCATATTAATAGCACTTAAGCACTTAAATGCTCATTGTAACTTCTACAAGTAATGGAGTTTTCTCAAAATTAATTAAATTAATTATGGTGTTTTAGTTAGTAAATGGGCTGTTGCTAACTGCGACGTGACCAGGCTTTCCTTGAAATGCTGTGACAATAACAGCTTCTTTAAAACGACTAATGAACAGCTGAAACAAAGCGTTGCTGAAAGTGCGTTCATTCCCACACTGCCTTTGTGTTTAATCTAAACTTTAAATGCATTTTGAACTGAAGCTGAAAATCTTTATCATCTTGAGCGTCTCACACAAGGCTCCTCCTGTCTTTGTAGGCTCTGGCTATTGCAATACAGGAAGCCAAGCAGCAGCATCCAGACATGCAGGTGACCAAGGCGGTCGTCATTAGGGAAACCGAACCGTCTGCTGAGGAGCGACATGGCACCACATAGGTACAGCTGCTGTCTGGGCCCTGACTGACGCCTCTGTCTTGAAAGGTTGTGATTGTGGCTCGTCTTGTCCCTAGACTCGTTTTTGTGCTGGAGCAAGAGTGCCCCCGTGTGGACCAGAGGTGTCAGTACCTGAGCTGAAGACACCACCCACACCATCCCTTCTACATACGACGACTGTCAGCAGGGCTCCGGACAGAGATCCGCTTGTACAATGGCGAAACGGACCTTTTAAACTTTTAGATTTCCATCGAAGCATTTCCTCTCATTCTGATCCAAGGAGCCGCTCATAGTCGAGCAGCAAAAATGTTGTATGATTCATGCCTGCAAAGCCGCCCAAACAAAATGCCAAAACACGACGAACAATTAAAAGTCACGATCCAACCAAATTCCCCTGCAAAGCCTCTCAGGACCTTAACGTTCAAAACGCTTGGTTGAGTATTCCTTAAAGGAAGTTATAGTTTAAGGATTTCTGTTAAATGAATCACTGTGGAATAATCTGAGCTCACATTTCAGATTTCATAGAAGGAAATTTGGGAATAGCTTAATGATCGACAATTAATTTAATAATGCTAATGTGTCTGGAACTGAATTTGTTTATTTTTTGATCTATGAAGTAGCCAATAACAAATTCAGAAAAGAAGGTTTGGGAACAATTGTCACTTCTCCACTTCTGCTTCGACTGAAGGAGAAAACAAATTCTTCGACTGGACGACGACAATCGCGCATTGATTAAAGGAGATTGTCGTCTCTGCCTGATCACTTTAAGTCCCTCTGTCTTTTTCAACCCACTTATTTTCCACGTGTTTTTAAAACTTGACGTGTGGGTGGCAAGTACGCAGGGATGCACACATGCTGCAGGAGCTGCTGTTGCACAGTGTAGCTGTTGGATTGATTCAGAACGGTGTGAAGTAATGACGCTTTAGATTGAGCCCAAGTTCCTCTCCTCTCCCTGCCTTTAGATAAGCTTTCACAGTCCATCTGGATGTAAAAGCCACTTTGGCTGTTTTGTGTGGTAAAGCTCATAGAGTAGACTCAAAACACAGCTGCATCGGTAAAAGTAGTACTTGAGGTAATGTCTGCATGATATAATTTCTTGCATTACTGGATTGTAATCAGACTGTAGCATGGATGTTGATGCAGAAGGAGGAAGCAAACTGACTGACGATAAAGATTCAGGCTCAAATATTCACAATTCTTCTTGTGAAGGAACGGGGGAAAATCTGTCCTACTCCATAACTGAAAACTCAATGGAAGTGAATCATTGTGGTTGAGCCTTTTCATTTTTAACCCACCTGCATCTCATTTTGATGGTGCTGTACAAGATATCTAAACATATCAGTTCATTTTTTAAATTTAAATCTTAAGGAACGTCAGAGGTTTTGCAGGCCCGCGTTTTGTTGCACTGTTTTTTTTTGTTTTGTTTTTTTTGTTACTGACTTGCAACAATACTTTGTTCTTCTTCCAAACCGTTTTTGCTTACATGGTATTATGCATCTGAACTCTTCTGATGTGTCATGTGAAGTTCGCCGTCATAAGTAGAATACAGTGTAGGAGAAACATCTCTGAACCTTTAGCTGTGTGGGATTTAGTACGTGAATGTTAGACGAATGCCACAGACGTGTAATGTGCCAATCGAGATAGCAGTAAAATTGTACAAATGCCAGTTTTGTATTGAGAAAAAAAAAAAAAAAAAAAACTTTTTTATAAATGAGCTCCTTTTAATTGCAGAAGTGCCAGAGAGACAAATACATAAACTTGGCATGACAAGGTTTCCCTTTAAGTATGCTGTCTTTAAGATGTGGAAAAAAAAACTAACAAACTGATTACTGAATACAATCTCTGCCTGTTTGCCAAACTCATATTTTAATCAAATTTATGCACCATGGAGGAAAAAAAAAATACACTCAGCAACTTAAAAATAAGACAATGCAACACATTGTCATGTGAGGTTTATGAATGCACTACTGATGATTTTTGCTTTCAAACACTAAACTTTACAATGTTCACATGTGTGGTGTAACTCCTGTTGTGTTTCAGATTTCGGTTCTGCATTTTTTAAGTGTAAAATAAAACAAAACAAACAAAAAAAAAACATGGCATTGTCTAGCTGGAGGGTTGAAGGAAAGAGAAATGCAGCCTTTTTTTTATCCCTTGTGCCGTTCTTTTGGTGCCGTTTGGTGGATTGTAGAAGACGTGAAGTACGTTAGTGAATGACTATGAGTAGGATGTGCACTAGGGGGCACCAGTTACCTAAAAGTATCGAGCTTTGCATCAACACTACGCGAACCCAGCTGAAACACTTCTCACCGTTAACATTAACATTCTGAGTAATCCAAATCCTGTTCGGAGCAGCCTGTTGGGACGGACTGACGCAGGATGGGCTGAAAAGACGGCACATTTGTGGAAGTTTGATATCCAGGAAGACGCAGCGTGGGAAAGCCGTGTCCGATTAACTCTGTGTCTCCGCTCCATCTCCTCTGCTCTGCTGCTCTCCATTGCTTGGTGCTGTGTCTTTGCTGTACATTGTGCTTCATCCAAAAAACAAATAAAGACCGAAGGAAAGCTGAAGATGAGTCCTGTGTATTATGTGTGTAGCAGCTCTTTCCTTTATTCTTAGATTTGAAATTGCAACGCTAGAAAGTGAATCTAAATTTCTTAATTTTAAAGGGCTATCAATCTGCTTGTAGTTGCACTCTTATGCTGCATTCCAGTTCCCCCGGAAATCGGGGTTGGATTTGACGTCACACCTAAGGTGACACCATTCCAGTTATAGTTGAAAGTTGGGATTTCAAAACTTGAAATCCCAACTTTCAACAGCATGTCGGTGCCTATAAACATTATCGTACCTCTTATGAACACAATTTTAACCTTTACTTTCTATAAGCAAACACCACTTTTAATTTGTTCAGTTTAGAGTTCCAAGCGCTACATGTAATATTGATCATAGATGGACTTGTATCATAGATGAGTTTTTAGTACAAAAAACTCAGAAACGTACTTTAGTACAAAAAAACTTTTTTGTACTTTTTTTCTGTTTTTTATACAGAAAAAAACTTTAGTACAAAAAACTCATCACTACTAATTCAGTGGCATCTGAAGGCAATTACTTGTACTGTATTTGATTCCAGGGTATTAAAATGGGCAAGAAAAAAAGACATTTTGAAAGCCATCCATCGTTTTCCATCCAGCACTACTTTCTTGAAAAACTACACGAGAGCTAAATGGAGTAACAAAGGGCATTTTTATGTTGGTGTAATATTTCAGAAGGCAAAAGGTAGAGATGTAGAAGTGATGTAAAAGGTTGTCAAAATCTTAACCGCATGAGCGAAATGAAAGGCAACACTTTAATTTAAAGAACATTTGGCCCAACGTTACAACGGGGACAGAAATGAGGAAAATGGCATGATCTTTATTCAAAGCAGACTGATCCTTTCAAACCACTTGTGTGTGTGCAAGACACACACACACACACACACACACACACGTTGACCAACCGACAGTGAAACACTGAGCTGGTTTTGATATAAACTGCTAGAAAAGTCAGAAAACAGGACCACCTATTGTATAACAATGCTCATCAGGACAGAAAGACGACAAAAAGCGTTTAGTTTCCCCTCCCCCCAAGTTCGAAACATTCAAAGATATGATTCAGCGAGAGCTAAGATACAAGGTGGACCAACAAAAACAAACGTTGTCCTGAATGATAAGTCGGATGGTAATCATAAGACTTAAGGCTCATTTGGGACCTGAGGATTTCATACATGTATGTCTTGGTTGTACACTGATGACGGAGCCAGATGGGACATTTATCATTTACACAAGCCAGCTGCTTGACAGAAATTAAGCAATGTGAGTACAGGCTGCCTTTTCCCACAATGCAGCAGGTATAGCTGCACTGTGGCAGCCACTTTGGTTCCAGTCAGTTTTATGGCCACTTGTAATGTTAGGAATCGAAGCAGGAAAGAGCAGAAGGGTCCCAAATTCTGTTTTGTCTTAAAGCAGTGAAGCTTAATCCCCACTTTTTTTTTTTATTCCATTTGATGGGATGAGCATTTCCTCTCAAAGAGAAACACTTCTCACTTCCAATAAAGTAAATCTCCACTTTAGATAAGCAAGTAAGCGATGTAGGTCGCCTCCACTCTCAGTTCCGTTTTCTGAAGGAAAAGCTCAGTGGTACACAGACTAAATAAATCCTTTTAGAAAATAACCCGCACAATTCCTTTGGGAGAGCATGTACATGTACTAATTTATCCTCCAAGGTGAAAAACATACAAGAATATCCACTAGTTAGAAAGTAGATGAGAAAAACTCATCTTCAAAAAAAGGCTGGAGTCAGTCGAGTCAAGGCGTCCCTTTCGGTTTCACAAAAGCAAATTCTGAAAGCGGCACTTCCTTTCAGCAACCACTTTAGAAAAGTGAAGAAAAGGATCTTCGCTCACAAAGAAGACCTTTTGTGGGGCAGAGAGGAGAGACATGGTAGGGTGGAGAAGGGAGCAGGAGGAAACTAGGCTTTAGGCCTTGTGTCGTCTCTGACCTGCTGTCCTTCCACTCTGAATAAGAAGCTGCAATATCTGGATGTTTGTCATAGCAGCATTCTGCCTGTGAGAACTACAGCTCCAAGGCTCACCGCTGAAAATCCCAAGGACTCTGGAGCTGCTCCCGTTGCTATGGAACCTGGGATACAGAATCAAATGAGAATTAAACAAAACCAAAAGCTTGTGTCTATAATGTACAAAAGAGTTGGAACCAAAAAAAAAAAAAAAAAGCGTTTCCTGTATAGTTATTTGAACCTTTTGGTGCGAGTACACCTATATGTCACTAGATGGCAGTAGCACAACAAGCGCACGCATGAAGACTGTGGAAGAGCTGGAAGCAACAGACAGTTTTCATCAAAAGCAAACGTCCACTTTCAGCTTTAAGTGCACGATGGAGACCATTCTGCTACTTTAATCATGTGTGGAAAAGCTACAATTTTAACGGCTACTGTGTGAGGAAAAAATATATATATTTTGATTTAAAAAAAAAAAAAAAAAAAACATTTAGCAGGATTTACTGTGAAAAATGACTCATATGGAAGCGTGCAGTAATTTATCAATTAAATGCAACTGTGGGATGTGTTTAGAGGGTTTAAGTGGATATTCACACTTTCATCTATGAGATTATTCAAAGTCACCGTCTTACTGTGTAGAAACGGAGAACAATAAGCTACAAAGCAGCAGACGGGTAAAAAAATAAAGCAGGACCAAAGTAATTTGAATTCGTATGTTAACAATAGTATAAACATGCATTTTAAAGAGACTTTTATTGTGATCGCCGTCCTACCTTCCACTTTGGGGATGGTAATCTGGCGACTGCTGATGCCCTCCCCTCCCTCGCTGAACGGTTTAATTTGGATGACATAGTCTTGGTTGGTTGGGAGCGACAACTCCAAGGAGGTGTTGTTGGTCTCCACCACGCTAGGGCGGCTGTGTTTGTCCTGGCTGTACATCACCTACAGGGAAACAGAGTTTAAATGTCTGTGTCACGGCTTCACGTCATTCCAGGCACTTGGCATCGAATAAAGAGGTTTTATTAATGTCTAGTAATCAGATTTAAACAAGTCTCTCAATAACACTGCAAACATTTGCCATGGCCCCTTCGGTGGAGCTGTGAAGATCCAGTCTTATGAAGGTTTATTAATCTGGACTTTTTAATTGCTGCTTGTGCTACGGATGCTTTCTCAGTTTTACCACCCGCTGAGATCTGCTTACTGTAGAGCAACTTTTTATTGTGATAAAACACTATCTGGATCATCGGCATTCAACAATATGCAGACATAGGTTAGTTTTCCTACTGCTGGAGGATTCCGTTATAAGACAGTTCCTTTCCACTGTCGCCACATGCTTGGTCAACACACAGGATTGCTGCAAAGTGAGTAAAATTAGATTTTAATTTTAACTTTGGGCATTAAAAGATGGGCTACCTTCGATTGTACTCTATTATCATTAACATTGAGCTGGACTGTATGCAGTTACTGGTGACAATATGATCGTATTTTACTAAAAAGAATTCAATAAACCTGAAATTAGTTTGAACAACGTGGATTCTACTGAATATTATTTAGACCTACTAGTCTTGTAATAAACTTTTGAGATGACATTTGTTTATTTATTTTTTGTAATTTGGTGCTACGCAAATTGAACTGAAAGATATTTAATCAAGAACATAACTGTCACGGGTGGGGAATGAAATCTATTTTTTTTAATCCACTCACTTGTATATATAGACAATTCTGAATTGATTAATAAATGCAAATTCTCCGTCATCTCAATGCTTTTGATAACCTAATATTGATGATGAAATGCCTTAAGAATCCCAGATTGATAGAAATTTCTCATTTTGGACCGAGGAAGTTTGTACGGATAACAAAGTGGATTTTCGGAATTTATATGTGATCAAAACTCCCGGATAAAAAAAATCCAGTTTGTCAGATTTTAATTGTGATATTGATAAATGCTTGTCTGCCTTCTGATTACTTAATTTTGTTCAAGTTTGTTTGTGTCATTTCTCTGTTCTATTCTTATTATTATCACAGTAAGTGCATATCTTTAGTTTTCTCTGGTCTGTGTCACATATTATAATAATGTCTAAAGTCCACTACAGGTGAATTCTTACTTTTCTATCAGATTCTTTGATTTGCTACTTTTTTCTTTATTAAAAATCACTGCCCAGCTCCCTAGTCACTCTGCATAAGGTGCTTCATTGGACCCTTATAGAAGTGTCATTTTCTACAATATTACATATTCCACAGTTGAGCAAAGAAACTGTAATATTTAAATGCTAGTGTGTTTATCATATACAGTAAATTCTTGGTTACCTTGAAAAGAAAACACTTTTCTTATTTATTCGATGCTTGCTAAAATGCCGTGGCTTTAGAGTAGACAATATTTTGTATTGTACATCAATATTTTACAGTGTGAAGATGAGCATAAATCCTTTTAGTCATAAATATATTCTGGTTTTTTGCTTCATCATGAAATACTTATCTGTCTTGTCTTTCTGGCTCTTGCTACTACGTCTCGGTCTTATCTGTTCCTGCCTGCTCTGGCCTCGCGCCAACCCCTGCCTCCCACTGCTGATCCCCATGTCTGCCGTTTCTAACCCCACTTGTGTCACCGTGGTTGTTCGCCAGACTTTAAGCATCCAGTAATCATTCAAAAAAAAATTTTCTAAAGGTTTTACCGCTGTATTTTCCTGTGCTTAGCTTGTGCAGGGCTGATTTCTTTTTTTTTTTTTTTTTTTTTTTTGCATAACCTTTTGCTGCTTGAGTTCAGATGTTGCCTTTTTGAAATGCCACTTTAGCCTCTTGAGTTTCCTTGCTTTTGAGCCCCAGCGAGGTCAACGTATGTAGTGGTATTAAAGGACACTGTCAGGTCCACTGAAGATTTCTTTAACATGAGAGTTCAATGTTCTTTTTAAGGATGTAAGGAGGAGAAAACTCGTGGTTTTCTCCTCCTTAAGAATATCAATATCAATATACTACTAACATAAAGGGTTAGGGTGGAGGGGTTAGAAAGGAAAAACAACCACCTAAACATACCATTTATTGTTAATATTACGAATCTAGAAAATATTTCCCCATCTCTTTAAACAGAGTTACCCAATGATTTGTTACGGTCGTTTTCTAGTGATGCTGTTTTAAAGAGCATAAAGGTACCTACAGCCTAATGCAACTACACAATACACCAATAACCTTAAAAATGATGTAAATAGACTATAAGTCTGTATAAAACTATGCACTCTTCATCTTAGCTGTGATTCCTCCTAGGTGCGACCACTTTACAGCAAAGTGTGAAACTCTCCACTTTTTACCTTGTATCCCGTGACTTCGGACTCGTTCTCCAAGGCGTGCACCTGGTCCCACCGCAGAATGACTTTGGAGTTGGACGTGTTCCACATGATTTTAACTGGGGCTTGACTGGGAGCTGGAAACGGACGGCAGGGTGTGGCATGAGTGCAAGAAGAACAGCATCAAGTGGCTGAATAAATAAGTAACGCAGACACACAAGAACTTGACGGCAGTTTGCAAAGCCTCTGTTAGTAGTGGTCTCTGCTAGGAAAAGCATTATTTGAAGAAGTGGAAGATTTTCAAACATCCAACATCAAATAAAGCTAAACATGTTAAAATGTCACATCCCTGACTGAAAAGTTTTTTTTTTTTTTTTTTTTTTTTAATAATCTGCACCACAAGGTTCTGTTGAGCATGCCTAAATATTTGTGCATATGCTTATGACACAGGAATATACACTGCAGAGCCCATAAAGTAAGTGAATGGTGCATTCAAGGTACAAGAAAAATCGGGCAAAAAGATCCATCTTTCCCCAGACTGTCGAAACACGCTGACAGTTAATGAAACAGATATTTACATATAAATCTGTGCACGCAAAAAGATATTTATAACAGCGACTACAGATATTTTGAGGGTGAAAAATCCCTCATTGAGTTTTTCCGTTGTAGTTCACTTATCTTGGGAAAGAATATCAATATCAATTTACTTCCTGAATTATTTATTTGAGCTGCTCCTTTTCTGTGCTGGGATAATTATACAACAAAGAAATTCAATAGACTTTTAATCATCATTATCACGTATTATAGATTTTTTTTTTTTTTTTCAAGACTGGGTCAAAATTATACATACAGGCGCTGATGTATACATACATCCCCATCAATATTTGGTTTAGGAGAAGCAATAATATATATTAGGGTGCATACTTGATTTTGGGCCTGTGTGTATTAGAGAAAACTGATCAATTCAATTTAGTGCAACCAGTCAAATTCAATCAAACTGTTTAATAATCCCCCCCTTAGAAAAACACTCTATTAAGTATGGCTGCAACACACAAATTTAGTAAAATATCAGCTGACGCAGAGAAAAGGCTAAGCCGTAATCTTCCTACAGTTGGTGCTGACCACTTTCCTCAATCTAATATGTGCTCAATAGACTCTGGCCCTAAAGGTAGGGGGAAATGAAGAAACAGCAAAAAAAAAAAGAAGAAAAAAAGACAGGAACAAGGAAAATACAACACACAAAAGGACATTTCCATTCGCCAACAGCATCTTTAAAGTGGAGTCCTTACGTGGTTTCTTGGTCGTGACATTGACTATGCTGCTCTGTGGACCCACTCCGGCACTGTTATAGGCCCGCAGGGACATGTAATAGGTACTGCTGCCCTCCAGATCCCTGATGAGTACTGATGTTTTATTCCCCTCTGTTCTGACCACGCTGGCTGCATCCGGCTTTTCCTTCTCTCCCCAGTACAGCAGCTAAACACAAACGATGCTCAGGTTACACTTCGTCGGTTCGAGTCCATTATTTTAACTCCTGCCCTTGTTGCATGAAGTGTAAAACAATTGATTTTAAATAAACAATAACACAGGAAACGCAAAGAGAACACCTCGCTTTTAAATAATAAAAAGGAAAAACAAAAACATAAGGCCAATTCTGTCTGCATCCTTTACATGTCAAATTACGTGAGCATCTGCTGGCCTGACCTCGTAGCCGAGGATACGTCTGCGGCTGTTGCTCCACGCCAGCGGCTTCCAGGTGACCTCCACTTCAGATGCTGAAACACTCCTCACCCTCAGCCTCACTGGAGCTCTGCTGGGTTCTGAGGCACACATGATGCTTACAATTACATGCATTCTCTACACCCACAAACACAGCATGACTGTAAAAAAAAAAAAAATACTGCAGCTAAATTTGTTTTGTGTGCAGAAACACCCCCTCCCTTTTTTTTGGGTGTTATATTTCACATACAAGTGAAACAGTATTACAAGAGAATGGGGGTTTGATGCTGCAGAAATACAAAACTGACATACCAGTTTCAACATTTGGAAATATAATAATTTGTTAATATATTTTTGGACTGTCTGCAGAGGTGACTTCATACGGTTTTGGAAGACAGATGCTTTATTTTGCGCACCTTCTTCTGCTGAGTAGATGGTAGTAACCGGGCTGAAAGGTCCTTCCCCCTTGTTGTTGTAAACGCCGACTTTGACTTGGTAAGGGGAGAAGGGAGGGATGGTCTCGTTCTTAAATACGTATCTTGAAGCATCAGGGGACGTAACGGCAGCCTGCATCCAGCCCTGAGCCCCAAGTGGGCGGAACGCCACCACGTAGCCAAAGCCCGGACCGCCCTGCATCTCCTCGGGAACCGGCTGAGCAGCAGGCAGGAGACGGCAGGCAGAGGACTCATTAGAAACAAGCTTGAATGACAGAATTCACAGAAATGCATATGTACTGTAAATTTAATGCCGAACGAAACAACCAAATCTGGGATATTTTGCTAATCCAGCCAAGTGTTAAATATGGACTAATGCAGTCCTGAACTGATTCACCTAAAAGAGTTCAGTAAACAGTTTGGCTGAGATTGACTCATGTTTTCATGTTGAGGCCAAAGTGTGGTTACTGAAAGAGCAAACGCTTGTTTTAAAATTCATGTTATGGTCCAAACTTTGCATGGTCAGTCTGGTCCAAATTTGAAAAGATAAATGAGCAAGAGGTGGGGTCCCTATACCGAGAACTCTGTAAGTCCAAAAGGACAGCGAAGACAAACAACCAACACACTCATTCGCACCAAATGACAAATTAAAGTGGCATTTAACTTAACATTCATGTTTTTGAAGAAAACCAAAGTATCAGCAGAGAGCCTCCACAGAGAAAAGCCCTGAAAAGGATTTGATTCAGGGATATTCTTAATGTGAGGCAACAGTGTTAATAACTGTACTCCTGTTTAGCCCAAATGAATGGTGTTTACTTTTTCTTTTTTCTCATTCAGCTTTATTAAAAATGATCAGTAAAAATAGCCACCATATCATTTCTTATAAAAGTCTCATTGACAAAAAAATATAAATAAATAAAATAAAATAATATATATATTGTTTTTTTTTCTACATAAACCAAATAGGAAAAACATGATGACTACTGACACAGAATGAATCACCCTTATAATCTGTTCATTGTATCGCCAGCAATTTGGTATATTTTAGGTAGCGGATGAACTTTAAGCACATGCTTTAAATCCTGAAAATAAATAGTAAGGTACTTAGAGTTTGATAAAGCTCTGGTAATGACAAAACAGCTGGGTCACAGCGTCTCTAAAATTGCTCTAGTGGGACAACTGAGATCGACATCAGCTCGTGACGCATGCTGGGAGTGTAAAAGACAAAGTGCCAAAATACTTCAGGATAGTTCTGATCGAAAGGTGTGAGAGTTACAACACAGTTTGGGACTGCAGCACTGCAGAACCATCAGGTTGGAAACAGTGTTCCTCCTTAAGCAGGAATATTTTCCCGGCAACAAATCAAAGCGATGTTTAGACATGTTTTAGGGATCACAAAACCAAGTCTAAGGTATTATAACTTGGCCTCCAAACTTCTGCAGCTCCGAATCTGATCAAGCACACGTTTGACGTTGCTTCACAAGCAAATCTGTTCCCTGGAAGCTCCAACTTAAAACCTACAACACGTAAAGGGTCTGCTGGTACCATCTGGGTGCCAAGTACCACAGAGCACCTTCAGGGCTGGTGAAATCTCATCAGGTTGACATGTGTTTCAAAAAGGTGGCCTAAAAATGAGGCTTCTGGTCTCTAATCTAATTATCTAACCCAACAAACCGGATCACAGGTTTTAACTCTGTTTTTTTAAACGATCCAAATTATCTCCCCAAAGCATAAATCAGCATTTGGTACAGAAATAACACAGCACTATGAAGACAGTAGTGACAGGAAAACTAAATGCATGAGCTGCTAGGAAGAATTACAACAGAGCAATCCAAGTCAAGTTGAAAATGTATCCCTCACATACTCCAGTCTTTTAAACAAAAATCAAAATGCAAAGGCACACGATAAAAAAGAAAACGAGTGAAAATCACTTTTACATCAGTCACCACGCAATTACACTTCATTTGAAAATTCTGTCTAGCAATGCAAGACTACAAAAATGAACATAAACACACAGCACGAGTACAACCTACACAAACTACTAGAAAGCAACTAAAACCATAAAAAAAACATAAGTGATCTTTGGTATTTATTTGTATACTTACTTCCCATGTGATGACGAGCTCTGATCGTCCTCCACCACCTCCACTCACCCTCGCTGGAGTCACTCTGGGAACTAAGAAGGTCAAAAACATCGGTAAGTTCAGCCAAATTCTAGAGTTTATATATCAATTATGAAGTTTTTCAATACAGCTGGACACAAACAGGTGTTGAAAAAAAACAAAACACCAAATGTAAAGCTGACACAGCCAAAACCTTATTTTAATTATTTCTGTTATTATTCTTATTTTTTATGTCACCTAAGTGACATGAAAGGCTTTGTGCTTTTATGTAAAGTTTCTAAGAGATGATACATCCGTTTCAAGTGCATTGGTGGATACGATGATATTCCAGGTATGGGCTACAATACACAATAAAATCTGAGGACGCAACAAACAAATAAGGTTTCCTCAGACACAGCTCAGTTATGTTTCTCATGTAACATTTTGTGCACTTCCTTCTTACCCTGCCTTCTTGTTCTCTGATTGCCAGAAAACACTCAAGAACCTGAGCAAAAATCAAGCAGGAATGGGTGGAGGATGTGTTCCTCTTTTTCTCTAGAGCGCTTGACATTTATCGGCATGTCACGCTGTTTGTTGACTGATTTTAATTTGTGAAAACAGGAAGCGTTTTGGTATTTGTGAGTTTCAATCAAAAGCCTTCAGCTCTTTTAAAGGCACTGAAGCGAGAGTTGATGAAAAGTGAAAGAAGTCAGAGCACTTCTCAAGGTTTGTTTTCCTGTTTGGCTAACCTGTGAAATGTGGAAGTGAGCTTTACATTATTCTTCCTACTTACTTACAAATTCTTTAATATTCAAGTTCCACCTTAAAATATGGATATGATCATTCCATATATTCCCAAGAGCACTTTGCTTCCTACTTGCAGATTTATTGGGAGTTCTTGGAGTTTCGAGTGGGGAAAATTTTTTTATCAAGTTCCTCTCTTGTGGAACCAGCTTGCATTACATTCTTGCATTACAGACAAAACCTGTAGGTTTTGTCTGTAATGCAAACCGACTTTTAAAAAAAATGTTTTGGCTTTTTTTCCAACCTTTTCTTTGAGAAAAGTAATAGTTATAGGCCTACGTTATCCTGGGCTTTCTCAATGTCTATTCTGTTACAGGTGTCTTCACTTTTCAGTTATGTATTATTGGCATGTACTACTTTTATTTATTTTTTGAGTTCTTTATTTGATACTCTGTGTTTTCTTTGTCTTCTTGGCCCTAAAACAGTTGAAATAAATGACCTGAATTTGACTTTGCCGAAGTTTTCCTGTGAAACCAATTATCCAATTATTTTTATGAGCTAAGACTGAGTACAGAGCAAAACAAAATTGTGTTTGGTTGATTATTTCTTCTTCCTAAATAAACAAAATCTCCTCTGACTATGTCAAACAGTACATTTAGCTACTGATGGTTGCTTGATGTTGTTTACTGGACATCAGTCATGTAAACATTTATCAGCAGAGAGAGAGAGAGAGAGAGAGAGAGAGAGAAAACAATCCATACGCATTTCTTTGGTGCGGGTCTTCTTCGAGGGTTTGCTGGGCTCTCCTGTTCCAACGCTGTTGGTTGCCAAAACTCTGAACTCATAATCCACCCAGGGACTCAAGTCAGTAACCGTGGCTGAGAGCTGCTTCCCCTTTAACAGTCCCAGTACTGAGAATCATAAAGACAAAGATCTCATCAATACAGGGGAAACATCTTTCTCCAAGGTGTTATTCCCACCGCCTCACTATTAGTGTTGTAAATAAATAACCATTACATCCTTCACTTTAAAAATAAATAAATAAATAAATAAATCTACATATTTAAACTGTATTTCTCAGAGACCAAAAGGAAATGTCTTCAATAGCATCAGCCTACCGGTGGCGACGGTTTGCCATCCAAGAGAGAAGGGTGTTCTAGCCTGGATGGTGTAGCTGAGGAGGGGGCTGTGGTTGTCCAGCCCTGGCCTCCAGGAAAGAGAGGCAGTAGTCTCAGTCATCTCAGTGACCTGGCAATCCAGAGGTGGGCCCGGAGGACCTGGAAGGGTGATTAGTTACACTTCACTCACACGGAGACACGAGGAAGAAGACATAAGACGTGCAGTGGGTGGGCCATGCTTAAAGCTGACTGAACAAACAGATTAGAAGAAAGGGAAATTAAGAGCAGCAGCTCCAAATGATTGAAGTGCAAAACCTATCCAAAGCCATTCAAAACTCCTCTTTTATTCTTATATGCAGTTCTTGAAAAATGTATTCATAAGAGGTTTTCTAATGTAGTGATTGTTACCTAGTCATTTTAATACACTCTACTGGTACTATCATGTGGTCTTAAAAGTGATTAAATTAAAAAATCTGACTGTTTTTTTCCCCCCACTGATTAGATTGTGTGACAAAGTGGTAAATGTCTAAGCATGCAATATGGGAACAAAATTGTTTGTGCCACAAAGTCTTACAATTTATTAAAAACGAAAGTGACGCATGCAAAAAAATAAAATAAAAAAAAATAAAAAAAAATATATATATATAGGTGGGGGGGTGTAATTCTGTGAAAAAGCGCCTCCTGCCCACTGTACAGTACAGGGAATGATCTGTGACACTGAGGCCCAGGGGATCCATGTTGGAGCAAATGGTGGGATGAAGCATCAGGATATTTTAAAAAGGACTCTGGTTGCCTTCGTAGGGAAAAGTCGTGTATTATTTATTTATTTATTTACAAGGATCAACATTTAACATTTTCGACTTAATCAAAAAAGAAGTGGTTCTGAAGAGGGGAACTCAATATTTTTCATGGGCCTTTCTCAATTCACAGACCAAGAGCCTTTTAAAAATGTGTTTGTCAAAGGAGATTTCTCTTTGCAAACTCCAATCGTTTTTGCTACAAAAGAAATATTTGCAAAAGAGGCATTGATACCAGAAGGAAACAACAACTGTGCACTCTGGGATTTGTTGGTAGCAATCTTTTCTGAATGCAGAACTTTTCCCAATTCAATTATTGCACTAAATGAAATGCGTTTGTGCGTGTGTGTGTGTGTGTGTGTGTGTGTGTGTGTGTGTGTGTGTGTGTGTGTGTGTGTGTGTGTGTGAGAGAGTGAGAGATTATGTTAAGATAAGTAATTAAAGATGTGTGCATTTCAAGGGATTTTAAGCAGCTCTACTGGGGGTGCCTTTAATCGTTGTGGGTGTTCACATCAGATGCTAAAGCTTTTAGCTCCACTCTTTATGATCCAATCATCTCAGCCAACTGAGTGTGGTTGCCTGCACTGGTAGTTTTAAATCTTTTCTTTTCTTTTTTTTTTTTTTGGTATAGAAGGATCCTTACCTCTGACAACCACATCTGTAGCAATGGACACGCTGTCCACCTTGGTCTGAACCGCACAGGTGTATTTCCCAGCATGACTCAGTTGGATGTTCCGGATCATGATGTCACCTGCTGAACGCTGTAGACGGAGGTGTCAGAAATAAAACACATGGTAAGTAAAAACAGTAAACAAAAAAGATAAAGGAAACAAAACAAAACAAACAAAAAAAACAACATTTAATTGGCCGAGTCATGGAGTTGCAAAAGCAAATAACGGGAATAGGTAAAGTAAGTGAAATGTCAAAGCAATTTCTGGTGCTCTCCTGTTTATTTCATTGAGGAAAGGGAGAGAGACGTCGCTCATCCGGGGACATTAAATAACCGATTACTGCTTCCATCCTCATTTATGAGGGCAACTTTTTTAGTGAGGAATTAAAAAAGCTTCTTTCAGCTCCATTTCTTTTTATACTCGCTGGCTCCTTTTAGTCTACAGAAAACCACTCAATGCCAAACACACGGTTAACTCTGAACTTTAAAGTTACAGCCGATATAAAGTTGATGTCTTATCTCAGAGAAGTGAGAAATTGTGAAGGGAGAAGCGACACTGGAAGCTACTTTGATGTTATGGAGATAAAGATGCAGTTGCTCCCAATCCTTCACTCTTTGAAAAACACCTGCCATTATTAAAGTAACAGAACTCAGGATAGAACAGATTACAGATCTTTCACTTTGACAAACTCAATATATGGCATAAAAAGAAGCCCTGAGCTTATACAACTGAATGAAGTAGTGAGTAGAGAAGTCTAAAGTCGTCGGTTGCCCTTTAACGAGACGAAGATGAATAAATGTCCCTCCTTATCCTGAACATGTCCCATCTGCATTTGCAAAATTTAGGTGAAGAAAAAATACATGAAATACGCTAAACGGAAAATCAAATATCAAATTATATTAGAAAATCTTTGAGATGATTTTCTATGTTTAGAATAGAAGCTAAACATATATATATATATATATATATATATATATATATATATATGTATATATATATATATATATATATATATATATATATATATATATAACATAACATTTTTCCAGAATATTTCCTTTTGGATAAACATATATTTTCCAGATTGTATTACCACAGACCAGGATGGATAACCTTTTGCATGGAGGTAATGCTGGTTTAGCCACCTTAATCAAGGTTTGATAAAAAGGTAAAAATAACATCTATATATTCTAACGTATCTGTTTTCAAAACATTTTCATGTGAAAAGTGTATTTCACTTAAGTGAGAAAGAATCTTGCAAAAGGATCTATAACCTCTTTCAAAGTTGTCCAGATTAACTCTGTGCCTGCTGTCTCTTTAAGCTCTTGCTGCTGCCAATCTTATTAATTGTCTTTTCACATTTTATTACATCATGCATGTTTTGAATAGCTCAAAGTCAAAATTAATCAACCAGATGTTTACTGCTAGAAAATACACATGGAAAAATATATATATATATATATACTCGGGTCATGATCGCTGCCTGACTAGCACTGATAAATTCACGGTAGATACCCTGTAAAAAAAAGTAGAGTTTGAATAAAAAACACAGAGATAGACTATTTATAAAACTCCTGGTGTTGTACAAAACAGGCTTAGTTTGAAAAGGCGAGCTGAAATTTGTTATCCTTATTCAAAGATCTTTAATGAGACTGAATAAGTGGTAGATGGGACAAACTTCTTTCACTAATGAAGGAGGTGACTCTACCTCACAAACTGAGCAAACAAGAGTTCTTTTATTTTCTAAAAGAACTATTAAATAAAACCAGGATTGATCCTCTTGAGCAACCTCAGAATATTTACTCACATTTTGAAATTAAAAGTGAAAAATCTAACCAGCTGCAGCCGTTTCTTTTAACGGCTGCAGCTGGTTAGATTTTTCAGGCACTGTACGTGCCTGAAAAATCTCTTCGATCTAAAAAAACAACAACCCAGTTGTAATGTATAAATTATTTGTAAAGATCAAAAATATGTTTTGAATATATCAAAGTTTTTTAACCAAGGACTTTGAAATAATTTTATTAGACTCAGAAAGCTTTTATATATGTGCAAGGAGTCGCTATAATCAAATGGAAATATAAACTTTCAAGGAGACAAAGTGAGCTGTATTTATTTTAATCTAATGAAAAGTTACTGTCAGCTCAGTAAAACATAGCTCTTCAAATGGATTTTGAAGCGAAACTGTTCAGCATATGTTTAAGTAGCTGCCTAAAGTATATACACACAGATCATGCTGGTTATTTCTGCAGCTTAAATATCTGAAGAAATTAATGTTGCTGCACAACACATCAAAGTTTGTTGCGTATGTTTCTACAAGGGATTGGACTAGTAAGGGTTTACAGCCATTTCTGGCGAGACCTCGGCTTACAGGACTTGAAGGATCTGCTGTTAAAACCTTCTCATATTGGCAGATACGACAGCCCAAAGTTAAATTGTCCACGAAGGAAAACGGGAGTGACACGGAAGACCCTCAAACGAGGGAATGCAAAGATGCACAAGTGGACTCACCCCACCGACTTTTTCAAAATAGACCCCTTGACTTCCAAAGTGGATGACCTGCTCATTGAAGAACCAGGTGAACTTCAGATCGAGAGTCGGATCGTGCGAAACCTGGCAGGGCAGCACGATGCTCTCTCCAACGGTCACATCCAGGTGCCCTGCTGGACTCGTGATCGTGGTTGCCTCTATAAATAACAGACAAACATTCGCAGGACATAAATCATTGGTAACATAGTAGTTGTTTTTTTTGTTGTTTGTTTGTTTCCAGTCTGAATGACCTCCTGTGCACTGACCAACTAGCTACCATGTTGGGCAAAATTGTGATTTTGTCTTCTCCCGAACTCTAATGAATAATTACAAAAACAAATCTCAGCTTTTGATCTACTCCGATGTGAGATGTTAACAAAAGAAAACAAATCCCTTTTGAGTCTGACAGTGACCTCCATTTGCATCTGTTTCATTGATGTACACAAAAGCACGGTGGTAAAAAAAAAAAAAAAAAAAGTCTCTAAAAACAAAAGAAAAACCTCCAGCTACTTTATAATAGATCAGCTTTCAGTCTGTAATTTGGCTCTGTTTGTGTGCGACAAAAAGCACCACAATTTCCTCCTCTCTCTGTGGTGCCCGTCAACATAATCTTTGGTTGTCTCAGCTGGATGTCTCATTCAGCAGTAGTGCTGTGCAGAGAATTCGTCCCATCCAGAGGGGCCTACACACCTGTCCTCTGTGAATTCTGCAGGCATGTCATAAGCATCTAATGGACAGCCTAGCAATGCAACATGTCAGAAGAAGTAAAGGTCTATATTCAGCTCTGTCAAAACAAGCTGACTTGTTTATCTCACAGCTCCGGAGGAGAAGCAACTGCCCGCTGCATTTTATTCCAGGTGAGCCTCCAGAAAGTTTGGCACATGCGGCAAAAATGAGAGGGGCAAAACTCGTGCAATTAGTGACTGCTGTTATACTGTAAGCTGTGGTGTGCTGTAAAGTAGCGTTGTGTCACAATCTCTGAGAGTTTGGTTGTGCTTTGTTTTATTTAGCTAGGCCATATCCGTTTATATACCGCTCCTTTTTCCTCAGCTTGGTGACTTGTCTTCCCTCAAAAGCTGCACTCTGTTTATAATGAGCCACCTGCTCCTCATTTGCTAATCAGCTCTTCAGCTTTTTTTGATTTGAACTGTTGCATATTAAACACACTCGCTTTCATTGTTTGACCATTTTAATTTGGGCACTTTTACAAGGAGCACAAGTTAGTGTAGAAGAATAAAACGGTGATTTATTTCTGAGTAGACTTCCCTTTTTCCGACTGATTTTATTGTACTTACTTGCACAATTGTTCAATCAACCACACTGGCATTGTGAAACTAAATGAGAGAAAAGTGTTGATCAAAGCGTGCTAAACAGAAAGAGTCAAGATATCTAGTTTGAATCTGGTTTTAATTGTGCTGATCAGCGATTTATTAATATGTTTCTGGTACAACAGGGGGAGCATGAAGTAAATTTTTAAGTTCTGTGCAAATTTTTCATATGTTTATTGTACAAAGTAGCTTTATGCATCATTTATCCATCTGTGTGTGTGTGTGTGTGTGTGTGTGTGTGTGTGTGTGTATATATATATATATATATATATATATATATATATATATATATATATTTGTTACAGCAGACTTCTTGTGCATGTAAAGTGTGCAGAAGAGGAAAACAGGCCTTCTGTTTGAACCCCTAATCCAGAAAACATGCTAAGAGGAACCACCAAAAGGCATTTTAATAGACCGGTGGTGTTGACTCTGCTCTTTAGAAATACCTAGAAAATCCCTTGTACTGCAGTATCTGACTTTAATACACTGAAATCTTAAACAAACCAAGCAGGACTATGAGCTACTTTGAGAAACAGCTATGAATTAAACATTGCAGGAGGGAGAAGGTAAAGAGTCTTGTCTTTCTTCCAGAGGTCACTAACAATGAGCAAGCATCACTCTGCTTTACTTTCTTTGAGTAATAATTACAAAGTGACAAGTTCCTTAACTTAATGTCATTTCCAGTCAAAAGAAAATTGCTCTGTCTCCAGATTCCATCACATTATTAGGTTTCATATTTGTCACCTTGTCTGAGCTTTGGCAATCCTAACTAAGATGACATTCAGCCTCTGACAAGACAACCACCTTAAGCATACAGCCGAATCAGAGCTACTTAAATCTATTAGGATTTTCCTTTCTCTTCACAATGTGCTACTTTGTGTTGGTCTTTCATGTTCAGTTTCTAAAAGGTTAATTGAAGTTTGTGGCTGTAACAATACAAGATGTGAAAAAAAATTCAATACTTCTCTGAAGTACTCTTAACAGCAAGAGTTCTTTGAATCTACAGAATATGCAAAGGAAAAAAAAAGTTTTAGCCCATCTGTCTGACCGGCTTTTATCATCACTTCAATGTACCAATCAGCTGTTCAACAATAGCTGACTAAAACACCCTGAAAAGCACAGCGATCTTTGAAAAGCTTCCTAGCCCCCATTTACTTTATCAAGGCTCCAGAGCTGCTTCATTCAAAAGGAACCAATGGACTGATGCCAAAGGCTACTGTGGAGCATGTTACAAAGACCTACTCATTTTTAGACTTTAAACAGAGAACCGGGTAAGAAAAGAAATTGTTCAAAAAATAGGCCGAGTTTGAGTGTTTCCAAGAGTCTTTTCAAGGAGCCCTGAGAAAAGCTATAATCTACAGATTAGAAACAAGTTGTGCCATAGATATCATAAGAACAACTTGAGTAACAGCAAGATAGGCGAAAAAATAATAATATTCAAATACTTAACTATAGTTTTAATATCAGATATTGGTGCATGGCAATATTTGTAGTAGGTATGATAATAAATATGAAAATATCAGGCAGTAACTTTACATAAAACACTGACATTAAGAATTAAATCCCCAGACAACACATTCTCAAGTAAACAGCTCTTTACATTAACTGGAAATCACACATTTACCGTATTTCTCGGACTATAAGCCCCTACTTTTTTCCCACGCTTTGAACCATGCGGCTTATAGCCTGGTGCGGCTTTTCTGTGGATTTTCTTCAACCGCCAGCAGGGGGCTCTTTAGCAGGAAGTGAATCATTGGAAGTCAAAATTGGAAATCAAAGAAGAATGTGCTAACTTTGAACAAGCACTAGCAGCAGGCACTCATATGATGCAGCTTTTAAGTTGAGGGCTATCTATCTGGCAGTACAGGAGGGAAATAGAGCCACATAAACTCGGCATGAACAAAACCATTGTTCGGCTTTGGAGACGGAGGGCTGCGTCCTTCATAAATCCAGCAGGTTTATTAGGACGCAGCCCTCTGCTGCCCTCTGTTGGGTCCTTATGGAAAACCGGGAGCAGCGGAGATACCAGCAGCTTATAGCCCAGTGCAGCTTATATATATGTACGTTTCCAGTTTTTTTCAAAAAAATTGAAAATACGGTAGTTACTGTATCTGGAAATCAGTTTATTTGATGTGAGATGGTGTGGTAATAAAATGTTTCCAAAAGAAAGAAGCACTTGTGTGGCAGATCTTGTAGAGAGTGTTTTTTGGAAAAATAACTCTCATATCTCATCTTACAGATAGGATAAAGCATCAAGTGGTGGCTGGAGGCATCAAAATAAGATGAGAGAGTTAGAGGGATCCAAAGTTTGTGTTTGATAAAAGGACATAAAGGAGAGGAAACAAAAGGAGTTTCTATGTTGCTTAGATGCTGTTTGGTTGTACTTGTTTCCTCTGCCCGTTAGGAAGTAGACATAAATAAATTATTGGATAAAATAGATGAGTTCTTTGTTTCTCTGTGTGTGTGTACATCTGCTGGAACAATCAGGTGACTCATAGGCCTTGTAATGTAGATTCGAAAACAATAACAAGATTTCAGGGCTTCGAATGATTGCCCCCAAATTGTAGTAAAGACAATCACCCACATTTCCTCTCGCAATATCTGAACATCAGTGTGTAGCAGCTGATCCACGTTTCTCAAAATCTGATTTCAGATAAACAGAAAGCCGGAAAAAGTTTGCTTTTCATGTTCTGAGTTAAAAAAGCTACTTACTTGAACAGAGTAAAAGAGGTAGAATATATATATATATATATATATATATATATATATATATATATATATATATATATATATACTTGTATATACTTTTATGGTTTTATGTTTGTTTGGATCTACATGCTTCGGTTGCCTTTATTTTGCCACTCTTACAATGTAATTTTCCCACTGTGGGACAGTAAAGTGCATTTCTATTCTATTCAACATACAATTATTTTCAAATTCATGTCCCTTTAGTGCATTTAAACATATATCTACTCCAAAATGGCTAAAAAAAAAGCAATAGCTTTATATCATCTGATGTATTAGAATCTCTGTTAAATGATTTTAAAAAAGCACCAATTAGAATTTAAAACAGAGTATGATGATGACACATCATAAAGTTTTTTCCTCTTTTTGAACTTTTCCTGTCTTTTTGGCCTGCTCTTCAACTCACCAGATCAGAATCTTATAAGATTGACAGGACAGACAGGGAAAAAGTAAAGTTGTCATCTGCAGCTAAAAGACGGAACCTAAAATAGCAAACCCTCTAAGGCCTCTGGGTTACAGCAGCGTCTGACTGCAATCCCTCGCTCAGTGACAGCTCAGTCCAGGCTCTGTACTCCAACAGCCTGTGGCTCCGTCGTGGAAACCTAAATATCCGCTTGCTGTGCTTTGTCGCACGCTCAGTTTAAATGTGTAACAAATCAATGCAAAAGACTGCAGTGGAATGTGGTTACTGGAAATGTATGTGTCTGAGGCTTCCTCTGCGGTGCATCTTATGTTCCATCTTTTTCACCGCATTAACAGTGACACTGGATACAACCGTCTGGCGTTGTCTTGATATGCAGATTTCTGTCAGTTTTTTTTCTTTCTAGTTCCTTTATGAAAGGATGTGTAATATACGCAGCAACCTTTCCATTTAATCCGTATTTTAGCTGGAGGTTTGCTTTGCTTACTGTCTCAGTGACCACAGAGGCACAGGTCACGACGGTCAGTTTTACAGGAATCCTTTTCTCGTGTTAGCATAAATATGTAACATTGCTACTTGAGTCTGTTGAACAGAGCCTAACCCACAGATGAAGTGCATTGAGGCGGCTGGACTCACGTTTTTGAATATATGCAAATTAGCTGCAGAGGATAAGTAGTTAAGTGGAAATCAGCTTCTACGATGTGAGGTTGTGTGCGACAAAAACAATGTTTCCCATGGAAAGAAATATCTCTGCTGCCCTGCCTTACTACCTTCATACACAAAGGTTATCTTTACTGCTATCAAAATAAAATTAGGGGAATTTAACTGAATAAATGGTGCAATTTCTTATTACCACCTTTGATCATTGCATATGCAGGAGTCAGGGCACTTATTAGTTAACTAACTAATTCATACACTCTGGTCCAACACTTTTGATGTAAAAACAGAATGAGTGTAATATCTGTGAAATTGCTCTGCAGGATACTACAGAAACTAGGCCACTCTCCATGCAAATGGCGAGCCCAGAACTCTGCGCCTTCTTCTAAAGCACTAGATTTGTTGCAGACTGAATGAATACGAAGGACAGACATTAAGGGAATATTGAAATTGCTTTAGGGTGAAACAGAGAATGCATTTTATTATGTCTGGTTTTGTTTAAAAGTTGCAGTGCGGAGTCCAGATTTTTTTAGCAGCCATAAACTACGCAGCTCACTAAGCATAACAGGCTAGTCTTGCGTCTCAAGGAAGCTTTCAGAATAGTGGGGGATTCCCCAAATGTGTGCTTCTACAGTGCATTTTAGCACAACGCATTATCTGTCTCAAACAATCTAAAGTAATTTAAATGACCTTTAACATAAAATGCCAGTAGAGTGTTATTTTTATAATTCTAAACCACATGAACCAATTTCAAGTGGTTAAATTGTTGTATAATCTACGTACATATCTACGGTCAACACAAGTTTATCCTTTATTATTGACAACATCAAACCAAATTTATAGTCAGTTTGATGCTGGATACGTGGTGAAAACCTATACATATTGATAAAAACTATGGTAATTGCTTTTTTTATTTACAATTAAATAATGTAAAAATTAATATTCATGCTTTTTTTATTTGTTTGCATTGATTGAAATAGGACCACATCAAACCATGATTAGTCTTTACATTTTCTTAAGCGCAACTTAATTTTTAACATTCAGTTAAATGGAAGTGGTCCAAGACACTTTTAGAGGTAGAGGTTCTTCCAGCCTCTTATCAATAAAATAGGTGCTGTTAATTTGTTTAGTACAATGTTTGGACACATGCCTTGAAACTGTAATATGGGAATAATAATCAGCAACAGTCAGCAAGCAAATGCAAATGTTTCAAACCAGTTCAAGAACTTACCTTTAACGAAAAGGCTTCCAGAGCTGCTCGCTACTCCAAACTGGTTTCTGGCTACACACGTATAGATCCCAGCATCCATTTTAGTGACATTGGATAGCCGCAGGCTTCCATTATCCAGCACCATGATTCTGTCGGGATAAAAAAAAAAAAAAAAAAAACACTACATATTACCATTAAACTCCATGTTAAAAGTGGAATAAGAAGTTCAAAGTCTAAAAACAGCCAAAGTGGTGCGTGAACTTTTCATCAGGTTGTGTGTCAGCTTGATGGAAGTTGAAGCTCTGTGTGAAGTGTTACAGTTTGATCTGTCACCCTCAAGTTCATAAGTGAAGAGAGAGAGAGAAAAAATATCATTTCATGGGGCAAAATTTACATCTTGACTTCATGACAACGGTGACAGGGATCAACTGTGCTTATCAAAAGTGCTGAATTTTTTTTGGTTTAGTACACAGAAAAAAAAATTGATACAAGTCATACATATTTACTTTCAAAATAATATTTAGAATTTGTGTTATTCTCTTTCGGTGACACGGGGCACATCTTAAAGCTTCGGTGAAATGTAACTGTTAAGCTTTGCGACTGTTTTAAAAGGGATGTCATTGAAAAAGATTGCAATTGTGGGTGGAAATAGCTTTTTAGGAGAAATGCAATTATTTGTTTTACTGCGTTTTTGTTTGTGCAGTATCTCAGTCAAGGACGAAGTAAATGAAAAGAAAACACTTAAGGAAAACTAAATGATTTACGAATTCAAATGTTTTAGAGAGGTGCGGCTGACTGAGGTAATTAACTGCTTGATTGTGAAAATACATTCTTTTACCATTTGTAAAGACCTGAGTCCATACTGAACAAAAAGATTAAAAGAAAATCCAGCCGCTTTCATTCCTGTAGATGGTGTCATTAAAAACATTTATTCATAGATTGCTCTCAAATGAAACTTCATCACTTGTCTGGTTTAACGTGTTTAAAAAGTACTGCATTTTATGCTCATGCGCTCTCTATTATCAGTGCATTCCAGCTGGTTTTAAACAACATATTTTCCTTCAGCTCTTCCTTTTTGAACTTTGTAATTACTAAAAGCAATGCATGACATTCTAATCTATTAAATCCCGTGAAAGGCAGAAGAGCTGCGCTGTTTAGTCATTCTTTTTCTGCAATAGGAAGGTCAGTTCTGAAATGTCAAAGGTTAAATGATTACAGTTTGAGTCTGAACAGTTTAATTATTTCCTTACTTAAATCAATATGACACATTGAGGCAATTACAAATATTGAGCTTCTTATTTCTTAATTTATTGCATGTCTGATAAACACTCCTATCGGTAAAAATACAAAGTAAATCTTTACAGACTGATTTTGGCTTTGATTTCATGTAGAATGTTCGAAATTAATGTTTTTTAGTTTTTTTTTTCCCTAATCGTTGACTAATATGCGCTGCTGTATTACTCTCTGAAACACCCAGACAATAAATGCGCGACTCCACCAGCTGCCACTTTGTCTCGCAGCAGGCACTAGGGTTGCCATGTTTGACGGGTTACTGGGGCATTGTACAGCCATGGATCACAGGAAAAGAGATGAGACGGTGCCAATTTAAATGAGATGTAAACAAAACAGCAAGCTTTTGTACCAACAAAGAACTCTTTATCGAGAAAATAACACATTCAAATGCAATCCGTTCACAAGCTCAACCTTTTAAAGGAACTAATCAGTTCTGTATCTGGAGCTGATTGCTTATGTTTAATTTATTAACGTGACTGTTTCACATGCAAAACTGTTTGCGCTTGACTCCAAATCTGTTGATTTTACCACAACAAAAACTGTTTGATAATGTCCCGTTTATAATTCAGAAAACCTGATTCTTTTTTCTCGTTATAGTTTATCTGAGTAAATATAAAATATATGTTTTACACATAGTATAACTTTTGATGTTTTAATTGTATTTTTCCCAGCGATATCTCCAGTTTTATATGTCTGAGCTGCCTCGATTTAACAGGCAAACTTTACAGACTTGATAGACAGAAGAAGAAGAAGAATCCTAATGAGGAGGTCCCGATTGTGATATTTATACATGAAAGGTATTAGGAGATTATTATTTATTACAGGTTCTTCATTGTGAGTTAAATAATAAAGAATATAGCTCTTATTTAAACAAGTGTAGGCGTTGTGAACATTTTTTCTGTGCAGTTTGCAAATCTTATCCAAAGACAAAAGGAGTTCTGTGCCAATAAAACTTTTTTTGAAAATACTTTCCAAATTAGAGATTTTTATTTCATTTTTTTCCACTCAGTATTTTTAAAAATATCTCTACATATCCATGTAGACTTGGAAACAGATTCTATGAAAAGATGATGTAGCAACCTAGCTCCTGCATGCAAACAGTCACTGTCTTCATTTCTATCCACAAAAAAAAGCTGCTTAATGGCATTTTCCATGTATGGTATGCAGTGATTTTGATTATGTAACAATTAAATATTTTAAATATGCAACAAAAGCTTCTGACTAAGAGAAACTGTCCAAACAAAAGTGTGCTGCAATTGTTTTGTGAGAATCTTTTGTCTATCGCCCCTTTAGCAGTGCTAATGGTCGCCTCTCTCTGAATTACAATGTGTTATTAATATTTCACCTACAGATAGCAAATGTTTGAAATTGAGGGAATGTGTGAATAGGAGTTTTATTACAAAGAAAAAAAAAACTTTAACAAAAGTATTTTCTCGGCAGCCTCTCACAAAGGGACTTTTGCGACTTCATAAAGAATCAAATAGGATGTTTGATTACGTAGCAACCAGACATATCAAACACAAAATACCAATATGTTCTGTGGTATTTGGCATCTTTAAACCAGATAAATCTGAAAAACAGATGCTTAAAAAGGGAATTAAAGGCTACTACAACAATGGCCTGCCAACAGATGGAAAAGAAAATGCTGATAAAAAAAGGCTTACAAGCATTTCTGGTTATTGTTGAATATTTAAAGAAGGGCTGTGGAGATCTTCGACATCAAAGAACAGCTGTTTTATTAATGCCTTGCAGATTTGTGGAAACAGAATTACAGAATTAGTCAGTCAAAGCTGCCTGTACCAATTCAGACATAAAAATTACCTACAGAGGCAATAAAAAAACAAATCCCTCTGTTAATAGAGAGTCCCACTGCGTCTTGAGCTAATAATTAATTTGGCAAGGCATCAAAGGTATTGCAAACATGTGAAATCCAGTAAAGTTCATGAGAACAAATCAATGTTTCCTGATGTGAAACAGCTGTTCAGCTGAGATTCTAATTTTAAAGTCCTAATTTGATTTTTACCACATGTTGTCTGTGTCAAAGTGCAAAAAAAAAAAAAAAAAGTAACACTTAAACATTCACTGACTAGGAAATACATTTGTTAACAGCTGTATATTATTTATGTGTGCAATATAAAGCAAAATACTCCCTCACAAAATCCGCCTCTTCCAGACAGGAAACATTTTCTTTTGTAACTTTTTGCAGTTTCACAGATTTCTAGTAAGTTTTAGTCATTTTCTGAACATAGAAGTCAATTTCAGCAAAGAAGTCCTGTGTTCAAAATGCAACCTAAAGTCTTCCTGCATGTAGTTTGAATGTTCTCAGTCTCAGTACTCTGGGTACTCTAACCTCCTTACGCACACTAAAATCATGCCTTTTAGGTTAATCTAATTTTCCCCTACATGAGTTTGTGCATGAGTGGTTGTCTGTCCTCTGTGTACCGTTGCCCTTCAAGGAAAAGCGGGTAAAGATAATGGATGGATGGTTGCTATTCTTAGCATGACGTCATAATTGCCAATCCTTTACAAAGAAAATATTGTCAGTGAGGCTTTAAGGTCCAGCAGGATGAGAACGTATGAAATAGGCTTTACTCTGTGTTCTGTTCACTCTGACATCGTAAAGCAACAGGAACTGTATTTTTCAAACCATAACTTGATTTACCTTTTTGCTGGTAATTGCACCTCGTCTTATGAAATGGATCATCTCCCTTTTCCTTCCCAAATGAAATACTTACTAGAAACTCCCTTGTCATTGTTTAAACTGTAAACGGTAATGGGGGTTAAGACACTTTTTAAAAAATATAACCGTTTTAAAGGTGCCTGAACTCATCCTTTTCTTTAAGACCCCTTTTAGGGGAGGATGGGCTTTTTAAAATGATCAGGAATGACCTGTATTGCTTTAAAGGATGAAGAATTAAAGTACATTAGTCTTTACAACATCGCCTAGTCCCCGCGGAGCCGGACGTATTTTCTCCTAAGTGAACCGAGGGCTTTCTTTGTAATGGCCTATAACAAAGAGTTATGGATATGAGATGTCACTGGGATAAGGCTTGCCAAAGAACTCTTGGAGACGACAATGCCAGGCTTCCCTCCCCACCAAAGCTACAAAGAAACGGAGAGAAGGATAGGATGTGCGAAGAAAAATATCTTTCAGAAATGCGCTCACTCTTGATTCCTTTTTTTTTTTTTTTTTTTTTTTAAAGGCTTCTCTAAAGCAATTAAGGTACTGGGGTGAAATGTGAGGGGTACATAAAACCCAGGGTGGTGTGAAAGAGTAAACACGCACTTTACCTCAACCCTTTGCTGGCCCGGCATTAAAAGTGAGTAAAAGTGAGCTATCGGCTGTAATCTAAAAGTCTCTCTGCGGTGTTACACAAAAAAAAAAAAACAAAAAAAAAACAAGAGGCTGTAAATGAAAACATTATTTTAACCACTTCAGAAGAATTGTGTAATTAACTCGGTATATTACAAACGGCTCACAATTTTCTAAAGTGCAGCTTAAATTCTTCTCTTGAACTGCTGAATCCGTTTCTAGTAACACAACTGGAAAATTTCCACCTCGCAGTAGGAGGATTATAAATTGATTCATAATATGACAAAAGAACAGCACAGAGTGTTTAGCACAACACTCTTAAACACAGCGGTTTCATCTCGGGGTAATATTCCGGAGCTCTATTCCTTATATCCGTTTCCCAGTTGCTGGCAGTGGTCAGCAGTGAAATTTAATTAGGGTAAGCGCTTTACCGCTAACCTCATCACTTCCTGCACACTGTAAGTGCCGAGCATCCCCAGGAATATCTGGTTATATGTGAACTGGATATGAGCTGACTTAAGTATAGTCCCGGCATGATTTTAT